CCTTATTTATGTCCAAGTGTTTCAAATGTAACTCTGAAATGTATTACAATTGTAAATGTAAAATGTTTTATTTTTAACTAGATTATAAAATGTATTGGTTTAAAATAAACTTAATTTAGTCTCCTGTAGCAAAAACTTTACAGGACATATAGCTTACATGATGAATTTTAAATGTGTTTATTAAATAAATTGCAGCTCCAGCTAGAACTTTTCAATGCAAGACTGCAAGAAAGACAGAAAGAATGAAGGTCAGCATCTAAGAAGAAAGACAGAAAAACAGAAAGAGAGAAAGAAAGACAGACAAAGAAGGACAGAAAGAAAGACAGGACAACATTTAAGAAAAAAGACAGAAAGACACAAAGACAGACAAAGAAGGACAGAAAGAAAGACAGAAGGACAACATTTAAGAAAAAAGACAGAAAGACACAAAGAAAGACAAAGACAAAGAAAGACAGAAAGAAAGAAGGACAACATTTAAGAAAAAAGACAGAAAGAAAAAGAAACAAAGAAAGAACGAAAGAGAGAAAGAAAAAATGAAGAAAAAAGAAACAAAGAAATGTTCATGGAAAGATTAAAAGATGCAACCTTTGGAGATGGATGAAAAAGGTTAATAAAGAAATGTCCTCTGTGTGTGTTGGTCTTTTTTCAGCTGCTAAATAAAGATGATTTGATCTGGTCTCCTTTTTTTAAACTGAACCTCTTGTATTATATGATGGGGAATGCTTATTATTACTTCTATTACTATTATAAGAATTGTATTTTATATATTAAGGTAAAGACCTGCTTCACTTTTCGGTTTAACATATACTGAAGGCATCCTCCCTGCACGCGCCCAGGTTTACTGAAGAAAAGCAATTACTGCAGGGCACGAGCCAACCAGCTGGGCCGTTGCAGGTGGGCGCGAGGAGCTGCTTTATACATAGTCATGTGCATATGATTTTGACATAACCTTGTTTTGTTTCAAATATGGAGTAAATTGAGAAAATAAAAATATATGAGTTACTATCATTATTACTATTATTACCATTATTATTATTATTATTATTATTATTATTATTATTATTATTATTATTATTAGCGACCCAAGTAAGACAATTTAAACTAAAAGAAATTATGAAAATATTTAAACTCGTCGTTTCAAAAATATGTCTCTGTGTCAGCCATTAAAATATACTTTTATTACGTTTCTACGGCAGGCATAGCTTGCACTTATAAAAGCACACGTCAATTATTCACTTTAATCAGTGAATGCATGTGTGTTTTCGCTGGGACGTTACCTGCTGTTTTAATGGCTTTGGGGCATGAAAGGTTGCAAACAAGGCAGTGGGTTTGTATGCGCTATAATAAGCAGCATGAACTTGAGAAGAAAATGTCCGGATTTGAATGTTCCCGCGCAGCAGCAGATGTGACTACACAATAGATGAGGCCCACGCCTGAATAATTGAGTCCAATTTGAATAACTGTCGCATGTCTGACGCGTGCAAGAAATCTCCCAGCTTTCCCAGGCTTTGTAGGAAAACCGTTGGCAGCCCCTTTCCAGTTCAATAGGGATTTAGCCTCTCATTGCTTGAAGTTGTGGGAACGTCTTAACGAAGCCTGGGAAAAGACTCCAGATCTACACATGATTACATCCTCTGTTAAAACCTTTATTATAAAGGTGCCTAACATCAGCAGCTGCACCAAAAACTGCCCTGCTCATGTCTGGACCTCAATTACCAAACTGGCAAATAAATAAGCCTAACAGAATAGTGGATAGCCTATAAACATACTTTCAAGACAGTATGTCTAGCCGTATAGTTAATACCCATTTAAATGTTTTTCTTTAATGTCACATTCTGTGTAGGCCTATCAATTCGTGCCATAATATGTTTTAAACTGGAAGGTATTTATTAAACAAGCAAAACGAAAAAGTTGTTATTGCAACATATGTTATATTACAGGAAATTCTGTCTGGGTTTACATATTGAAAAATAAATATGATAGCGTGCTAGAACACCAATAAATATAGCTTAATCCAACAAACAGAACGTTTTGTTACCGTTCAAATTGACCTTATCATATCGGTCTTTACTTATGTTATTTATAGGATACCAAATAACTCCTGCATAAATAACTCCTGTAAAAAGAAAGATATCTGAGGCTATGCTGGCATTGATATAGAGCCCCCCCGAATCGTGTTAAGGAGTTATTATTGTCCTTATTCTTTGGGGAATTGTACCATTAGTCAGACTCGTGGGAATTTCCCCCCACCCCTCCTCCCCCAAATCGGCGCGTGGTGCCTATGACAGTTGGACCGGTGCAACAGATGGACCGGAGAGGCACGCGCCAAGCACGAGACCATGAGCCCCCTCCCACTCAGCAGCAAACCCACCCACATCAGGCAGGAGCCGACTGAGCGCAAAATCACTCAACGTAATCTGACAGTGAAGGCGCAGAAAGTGTGAAACATGGAGTTTTCTTATGTTAGAAAATCATCCCATGAAAATATAAAAGCCTTCCAAACAGATATTAACACATAAACAAGACCTCTAAAACTATACTGTCTTGCATTTACACAACTATTACATTGTGTTTCAAATGAAGCCTCCAGAGCACTTACTTAGGCTACTTACTAACACTTACAAATATTTGATGAAACGGAACGTTACTTCAGTTTTGTTATATATTATTAGTCGTTATTCAGTTTTCCTAACGTGTGTGAGGTAACTACAGTGATTTAGAGAAGCCAATACAAAATGTTCACTTGACACCTGAACATCTCAGGTGCATCTATACGTTAGTCATGAACATGAAGCTTTCATGCCACCGTTTGGTGACCAAAAGTATTACAGTTCGTAAAATTCATGGTTATATACTTAATCACAATATCCATAGAACAAGTTCAGTCAAACCAAACTAAGATCATATTTTGTTTACCAGCTTACATGCAAGGGGCAGTATGAGTAAATGGATTCACACAGAACATTTTTAACGGTTTATACTTGTACGCTTTGAATGAGTTTAACTGTGTTGTCAGAAAAACGTTAATTATCAAAACGTAACATTATAAAAAAGATTATAACTATTACAATCATTATAAAAAGGGGTCCCTTTTAGTGTTAAATATTGGATTATTGTTATGGATTAATTAACATTGGAGCACAAAAATCGAGTTGGTGGTGTGGAGCTAATTTATTTTATCTTTAATAAACCATCATATTTAAGATCATGTGTGTTGTAGGTCTACATAAAATCAAAATCTGCAGAGTAACTAATAACTATTAATATTACAAATCAAGAAAAATTAGTGGCTACTTTGACCACAAGGATATTTAACTTAAAGGTCCCATGACATGGCCATTTCTACTGATCATAATTCCATTGTTGAGGTCTACTAGAATAGATTTACATTGTTCAATTTTTCAAAATCACATTGGTTTCTCATACAGCATCTCTGTATGTCCTAAATGGCTTGTTGGAGCTCCTGCTGTGTGTGTGTGAGGAGCTCCACGGATTGGTCCATTTGGTCGTCCTGACGTCACTGTGACCAAGAAGAAAAAAATGGAAAAAGAAAAATCTCCAACGAGGCGTTCTGGGGCAGCATAGACAGGTATTTTCTGTGTTAGAGTTTTACTCGCTACAGGGTGTACTTTGAGGGTTTGTGACTTTGCAGACCGTTTACATGCAGAAAAACCTTCATAACACACAAGGGGACGGGTAATAACCGGAAAAGCATGTCATGGGACCTTTAATACATTTACACAATAAACTTCCACTTAAAAGAAAGAATAAACACTCTTTTTCTATATTGACTCATTTGCTAAAAAGATATAAAAATATCGTTTTCTATAGGCCAACCAAGCAGACATATAAGTGACTATATAACATGCCATATTAAATTGTAGTGTAAATTGTACAGATTTAAAAGGGTGCTTTGTTCCCCTTCAGTTCAACATAAGGCCAATACATATGGTTTAAAAGTCAACTAAAGTCCAAAAGTATTGCTAACATGAACTATCTCCCAATCTCCCAAATCAATAAACAACCAAAAATCAAATGTGTGATATCATTATTATATCTGAAACTGTTCTAAGGAAAACCATTTGAGAAGGATGTTAGATGACAGCCCCATGGGGAATAATCCGGGGTTCCGTTTCAGAACTGACAACACTACAATGAAAAAAAGCTCACTTGGGAATAGACATATACCTAAAATATCCTAAACAAAAGTGCAACCATTTTTCAGAAGACTTTCCACCAAAGGCCACCAGATGGACCTCTACTGTGTACAAACTGTGCGTGTCTACTGATGCTGATTTCACTGCCATTATGTAAAATTAATGCCGGGGAGGAAGCATGCAAACAAGACTGGGCGCGAGTTCAAAAAGTCCATTGTTGAGTTAGTGTTTAGCCATAGGTCTATATTTGACTGACACTTATCAACACAGTTGTACAACTTTCTCTGTCGGACTACTAAAGAGTTTTAAGAGGCAATTTCGTACTGTCCCTTTAACTTCTGAGCCGATTTCCAGAAGGCTACAACCTGTAACAGGCTCAGCGATCCTCCCCCTGATGGATTATTTAACAGGCGCTGAGTCCCATGTCGCCATCTGCTATAGGTAGAAAAACACCGTGGACTATTCGTAGGCACATGATACCTACACGTTAGCAAACAGGGTAAATAAACACATTAAACAAAAAATAGTTTTCTGGAGTTTAACTTGCGCAACAGGTGTTCAGCATCCTGCGGGCTTAAGAGCGAAAAGAAGCGGATAACTGAGACACATCGACGGGCAAAATATAGAAAGCAGGTTAGTTTATTGCTCAGATAAAGAGTAATGGATTAAGTTTTAACTCAACATGTAAAAATGTTCCAATCACATTGGAACATGTTCATGAACGGAACTTGCTTTTGACAATTTGGCTCTGGGAGGATGTGGAGCTATCACTGAGTTTACCCACTACACTAACCGGGTGACTGAGATGATCTGAGGCTGTGTAAATACGATGCTGACCCCATTAGCACGGTGAAGTGATCGGGCTCAAAGCAGGCAACCACAGGAAGGAGTCGCGCTGTGTGCAGCAGTGATGGTGGTGGAGGGGGAGCGGACGCTGCTGGCCGCGAGGCAGGGGGACGTGCCGACCCTGAAGGGGCAGCTGGCCCAGAAAGCCCTCACCAGCGACATCAAGGACGGGCTGGGGGCTTCACCCGTCCACCACGCAGCCCGGGCCGGGAAACTAACCTGCCTGCGCTTCCTAGTGGAGGAGGCTGGGCTGCCGGGGAACTGCCTGGCTAACAATGGGGCGAGCCCGGCACATGACGCAGCAGCCACCGGGAACCTGGCCTGCTTACAGTGGCTGCTGACCCAGGGGGGATGTGGGCCAGAGGTGAGTGACCGGAGCTTTAGTTGAACACGTTGGAAATGGAGCAGACTGAAGCCTAATTCTCTCTTTCCTCTGATGGCTGTCATTTCTCAGAACTGTGCAGCCTACCTGTTAATCTTGGGTGGTCTAGTTTCATGCGTAAAACAGCAACATCATGTTGAATGTTCTCTAAAGAACTGTTTCAAATGAAAAAAGCTTCTGTAACACAATTAACCTAAACCTTCACCAACCTATTATAATAAAATGCCCCCCAAGGTAGGGGGAGAATTTGCTGTTTTACATGTGTAGGGAACTCAGATATACATTAGTCTTAATTAATTGGGGATTAAATTGAGTGACTATAAAATGCCATATTAAATTGTACAGACTTAACAGGGTGTTTTGTTTCCCTTCAGTTCAACAAAAGGCGAATACATATGGTTTAAAAGGCAACTGCACCCATTTTCTAAATTCATAGGTTATTCCTAGGTCTAGGTGAGTCAACAAATATTGCTAACACACACTCTCTCCCAAATGTATAAACAACCAAAACTCCAATTTCTGATATCATTATTATATCTGAAACTGTCGAACAACTATTTGAGAAGGATGTTAGATGACAGCACCGTGGGGAATGATTCAAGTGTATAGGTTCTGTTTCAGAACTGACAACACTACAAAGAATAAAGCTCACTTGGGTATAAAAAAAGAAAACAAGAACTTTGTGGGTCCCCAAAATCAGTCCCCATTCATTGTCTATGGGTAGATAATAATGGATGGATACTCTGCAGTCTATAATAAGGACATCACAAGTTTAAGACTTGCTTCTCTGGTTTCTTGCTTTGAGGAAGAGCATGATTAAAAATACTGAACTTCCATGAAAATAACATATTTGAATTCTCTTTATACCGTATCATGCCACCATGAATTCACTCATACCACATAATGGTCTATAATACTAGAATAATGTTATATTGTGGTGATTAGTTATTTAGTTGAGAAAAAATAAATAACTTCAACTTACTTTAGCATTGAGCCATAGGCTCTGATGTGTCTCTGAAAGCTTATGTTGTTGTCCTGACGACAAAATAAAAGGCAGCACATGGTAATACTATGAGGATTGGAAAACAAATAAATGAAATTTTACTCAAAAGTTCAGCACATGCAAAATAATGTCAGCTGTTAGAACATTTTGTGTTTAGTCTTTCGCTGCACTGACTCATGTTTCTCTGGTAATGAAGTATGCAAAACTGGATTTGAAAAATGTATATTAATTTACAGCCCACACAGTAACTCACAAAAAGAACACATACAAATACATAATGACAGTGTGGCTTGATATGATATCGGGGAAGATGAAGAATATAGTTGAACATTATGATCTCTTTCGACTCATTAACCTCAGTTCCATGTCGCTGCTGTTACTAAAATGCAAAGCATTACTTCATGCTTGAAGTAAATGATGTAGCCTACCACTGAGTTTATATACAGTATATATTTACCATTATGTGTTGCCATTACTGTCTGGTGTGCCTCTTATTCTATCAATAATGCATTGTTTCCCTTTAGTAAAACAATATAATCAATTTATTTTCTACAACTATAATATGTAGACTGCAAGCAGATACATTTCCTGCTGCTTTATACTCCACAACAATTCTGAGACAAATATTTTACTTTTCACACTACCACACCACTACATGTATTTGATAATTTAAGTTACTTTGAATATTCAAATAAAGATTAATAACAGAATAATAAACAAAAAAATATCTAGCATTATTATAAGTTATACGTTATTGATCCCTGTGAAGTGTACAGTTTTTTAAGTCAAAGATAATAAGCTCCCCTGCAGCAGCAAATGTTAAGTGTTGCACACATTAATGCAGGGCTATTCAATTAGTTTGGAATGGGGGCCGGTTGATGAAAATGATCCAAAGCAAGGGGCCGGGAAAAAGATGGCTTGAAATATGAGCAATCATATTAAGAGCTTCAGATACAGTAAATACTACAACAGCATAGTGGAGTGCATATTGTCTTTAATTAAATCAAACAACAAGGCCTTTCTAGATATAAATGGCAAGTTCAGAACTCAGTAGGCCTACATGTGAAGCTAATTTAACCATTAACATCATTTCATTTGATTTAATTTAGATGAAATTATCTAATCATTCTCGCAGAGATGCAATAAATGACAGGAGTTGTCACTACAGTAGCTAGTAGGTGGGTCTGAAACCCGAGCCCGCCGAAGTTTTCAGGCAATGTCTTCCCCTCTATCTCTCAATGTAACACCCTCTCTGGAATAAAGGCACTCTGGCCCAAAAGAAAATCTTAAAAAAAGTAGATCTATTACTTTTTAACATTATACTCAAAGGCCAGTAAATATCACCCCGGGGCTGGATTTGGCCCGCGGGCCGCCAATTGAGTAGCCCTGCATTAATGCATCACTGTCCATTAATATAACATATATTATTCTGAAATGGTCCATAGTGCACGAGCACATTTTTAGATTTGTAGGCATATTCCTATGCACATTTTTTAAATGTAATATTTTCTACACTGTGGTATGACTCAAGTAAAAGATCTGAGTACTTCTTCCAAAGTATCCCAGAATGCTTAGGGTGAGAGGGAAAACCTTCTCATCCGCAACACTGTCTTATCAGGCCGCAGTGCTAATGACAAAGCGCTGCAAATGAGTCAATCGACCACTCAATCTAACCTTTAGTAATCTTTGTTTCTAGATGTAAAACAAAGTAATAAGAGCTCTGTCATCTATGTATTGTCTCCATTACTTCTGCTACCTCACAGAAGAGCAACAGAGGTTTCCCCAAGCCACCAGCCAATCGGAGGGATGAAACCCTCTTTAATGGTCACACATGCAGAGCACACAGCACACACAGTGGCATTTGGCCTCTGCATTTAACCATCCTAGTACCAGGAGTCTAGTACGAGGAGCAGACTTGGCTGACATTTAGTCAAACATATCAATTACCACAAAGCCATCTGCTTGATGGATTATCAATGCTAGCTTTCACTTTTCTTTATTGTGTCTTTTGCTTTGTGTTACTTCACACTGATCCTGATTTGATCTCATTAACATGCTCATTTGATGCATTCGACATGGCCCTGATCTATCCACAGGGGTGGATGGATGTGTATGCATGTGTTTGTGTGTTAGCTGTTGATCCACCTCTTGGCACAAAGGATTCAAGTGGGAGGACGCTGGGTTGGCGGAGAGTTGCTAAAGCTATGATCTGTGCGTCTTTAAAAGCTACTTTAGTCGTGACAGGTATTTGGATTTAATATCTGGGATCTTTTAGTTTCTCTTCTCTTTTTCTGGCTCAGCTGATTGTACTCTGAGTTTGACATAAATTATCAGCTCAGAAATGCAGCATGAGAAGCTCTAGTTTTCTCCCAGAAAGTTGCATGTGGGGGATATTTCAATAACAAGGTAAGCTTTTATACGCAAGCTAAGCAAGGACTTATTCCCTTGCTCAAAAATGCCCGCTACTAAATCACAGTGTAAGGAGCTTTGAGGCTTGAAGGAAATGAACCAGTAGAATCATTCAAACCACCTGTTAATATATATTTCCGACATACTATGACTTTTTCAATACACTATACTGGTTCATTTTCCTGATATTTTCGAGATATCATCCCATGTCGTTTTTAAGACATTAAACATTCACGGACATTTTATATGTACAGGACACAGAACTCAACCAAATGTTCACAGTGAACACTTAAATATAGTATCAAATAGTAATTTGCATATTGTTTTTATGAATTCCTCAAATGAACTATGATAAATAGACAGTCTCTCATACAGGTTGCTATAGTTAACAAACATGGTGGTTTGTCTGGTTTCTTCGTGTCAACCATTGCGGGTTTTAATGTAGTACAGTTTGCATGTTGTTGAAAAAGTCTTTAACAGGTCTGCTTTCTCTTATTATATTGATTATTAACTTTTGTATGTATTCATACAACACCATATTTCAACTGTATTTCTTATATGTTTGATTGACAGGACCGGGATAGTTCTGGTGCCACAGTTCTCCACCTAGCGTCCCGCTTTAGCCACCATGAGATCACAGACTGGCTGCTGAAGAGCGGCGAGGTGGACCCCGGGGCGTCCACCGACACAGGAGCCGTCCCCGTTCACTACGCTGCTGCCAAGGGAGACCTGCCCTCTCTCCGCCTGCTACTGGGGCACAGCCCAAAGTAAGAGCATATGGTTTTGCTTGATGGATTATCAATGCTAACTTTCACTGCAGCGCTCTGTTTTTAGAATCTGATATGTTAGTGGGATTTATATGTTGTTGATTTCTTCTCGCTGTTGACTTGTAGCGATTTAATTTGGTAATTCTTCTGATTTTCTTTTGTGCAGGGAAGGAAGCTTCCCTCGTTTTGAATACAATCTTTAAAAGTGGACTGGGTGTCACTGTTGACGGTAAACAGTGCTCAACAAAATATGTTATCTGAATATATACTTCCTCCAGCAAAGCTTGACATTAAGAAATACACAATAAAGGGTATTGTCACTTCTCGATGGCATCTAGTCAGCTTCCTACTGTTTGTAACTAAAACGGGTTGCAGTAGATGGACTGTTCGGATTCAGATTTCTGACCCTTTAGCAGTCTAACATTAATAAATTATTAACCATTAGGTAAAAATGTTTCATATCAGATGAACACTGCTGGATTTTCAGTTGTTCGATCAGCTTTGGGCTCATGCTACACGCATTATTTACAGCACCAACTGGCACTGGTGGGACACAACCAGAACTTTGCTCTTTTGATACCCATGGAGCAAACAAAATACTTAATGTTCAAAATCCCAATTAGAAAAAAACCCTCTTAGTGATATAACTTACACAAAAATACTGCACACTTCCATAACAATGTGCTGCTTGTGTAATACATCCAGAATCCTTTCTCTAATGTTCACCAACGTCTGTATGCGAGTCACTTCAACAAATAAGTACGTGTAATCAAATACTTTCTTACAAACCTGCACTGTTGATGGTAAAATCAGGTACAATGTAAGACTAACAATTATTTTCTTGATCAATAAATTAGTTGATGCTATAAAATATAAGAAAAAGGGCACCCCGGTATATTTATCTTTGACTTTCCAATAAAACAGGCACATCAAATAAGCAAAATGTGTAGTGTTTTACCAAAATAATCTCAGAGATCTGGGTCTGACATTACCAAGTAGGTGCGTGAGATGTTTATCTGTTAATTAGTGCCACACTAACACGATTAAAGTCACTGGAGTAAACACTGAGGAAAGTTGTACATGCTGCTCTTCCTTTAAAGAAACAGCTGATTGTCTGAGATATTTTGTATAGGGTTGCACTGCAGTACAAGTGCAGTGACTTGCTTAGTTGTATGGTTAATGCTTAATATCTCCTTACAGTGCTTGGTAAATAGTAAATGCTTTTTAAAGTGAATAAGCGGGTCCCTTGTAATCCAAGATAGGCAAATCTATTTTCCTTGTTTGGTTTCAGTTCAGTTTAGCATTATTGATAGCAGCACCTGTCTGGTGGTAAAATAATAAAAAAGGTAAATATGGAGGTAACCCTTGAGCTAACGGATGTTGAATATGCTAGTGCAGTGGTTCCCAAACGGTGTGCCGCGGCACACTGGTGTGCCGTGAGGCAAGTCCGGGTGTGCCGTGGGATTTTGTGACAACCGTTATTATTGCAATATACAACTACACAAAAATAATTATTTTTTAATTTACTATATCAGTACTTTGTATGCACTCATTTCATAATACAGAGGCAAACTCTATACCTAAAAACAATTCTTTAAAAAAAATTCTCACAGAACCCCATATTTAGCTGTTAACGCAGTTGCAGGTGGGAATTATAAGACCGTGACACATCGAAGGCTGAAGGACAACATTAAAACAGAGAAACACGCAAGAGGGAAAATGGAGCGCTTTCTTGTGCGGAGCAAACCACCAACCACCAGTGCAGAGACTGCCGACAACCCACCACCGAAAGAAAAGAGGAAAAAAACTGTCAGCAGACAGTATCAGGAAAGTTACCTGTCTTATGGCACTGCAGGCGAGCGGCAGATTTTCCCTACAAATAGACGAATCTACTGACATAAGTGGGGCTGCCCAACTTCTGGCAAACGTCAGATATGTTGATGCTGACTCGATCAAAGAGACGTTTTTCTTTTGCAAAGAAATGGAAAGCCATACTACGGGAGAAGAAATATTCAGGGTAACTAATAACTATTTAAAAGAGAACAGTCTGACCTGGAATATGTGCGTCAGGCTTTGCACAGATGGTGCGGCAAGCATGACGGTGAGAGTGAAAGGATGTATTGCTAAGGTGAGAGCACAAAACCCACATATCGTGACAAACCACTGCATTTTGCATAGAGAGGCATTAGTTGCCAAAACCATGCCCCCGGAGTTGACTGAGGTGCTGAATCAGGCTGTGCAGATGGTGAATTACATCAAATCAAGGCCCCTGAAATCTCGCCTCTTCTCCCAGCTGTGCGCCGAGATGGGAGCCGACCACCAAAGCCTGATCCTCCACAATTTTTAATTGTGTGACCTGTCTGGTTTAAATGAGTGTGTTGCTGCTTTGATGAAGCCTAATTTGATAAAGTTTCAAATTAATTTCTGAAATATTTCGTTAATAAATATTTCATAAGTAATATAGTTGTCTTTGTCACATTTTATTTGGCATTAGTAAATAATTATGCACATTTACAGATATTTTACATGATATGAGTGATAACACGTGTTATAAGGGCTATTTTGCACAATAGGTGTGCCTTGAGAGTTTTACTTGTCCTTTGGTGTGCCTTGGGCACAAAAAGTTTGGGAACCACTGTGCTAGTGTATAGTTCATCAAAAAGGATTACTCACAGCTGCCATAAAGAAATAGAAATGTAATTCATTTACAACCTAGTCTTTATCTAAGCAGCCCCTGTAATGAATGTTTTGACATGGATGACCTGATCAGGATGAGCAGCTTGTCAGGCACTTACCTCGTGCTCAGCACCTCCAATAATGTGTGGTTGCACCCCAGACAGCTGCTGAAAATGTAATGATCCTCAGGGACATGGTAGCTCCCTGATAGCAGGGCCCCATTCACTCTCCTCCACCACCACTCACACTGTTACTGTTTACCACCATCTCCACGGCGACACGCTATACCAACCAGCTATAAGGTAATGAGGAAAACAAATCCGTTTGAATAGACAAGCTGCTTTCTAGTGGCTGCCTCAGCCATTGTTCAAAATGGAACTTTGCAGAAGAGAGATAACATTCTTGTTTCAGGGTTTATTACAAGCTGCACATTTGTATCTGCTAGTTTTAAGAGGAGATTGGATGTCTCGCAGTTGCTTCTGTTTGAAAAACCTCAAGTACTACATGAAACCCCTCCTCCTTACTAACGGTAAACAAACTACAACTACATTTTAACTCCTTTGCAGCATTATACTAAACCAATGGTTTTAAGTTCTATTTCAGCGTCATTCTCCCTAGACAATCTATTTCAAGACCTCAGACTTCCACCTCTGCTTTGACCAATATAGACTTTTAAGGCTGGTAGGGGGATTAAGGCATAGTACAGATATATTTGTCATCTGACCTTTTCATGATAGAAAATGCAAGGATCTATACGAGTTTACCCTTGAAATGTATTTTTATACATCATTTACAGCAATTAAAATGACTAGAACCATAAAGTAAAACCACCACCACATTTATTCATAGGTTGGTTAATACAAATATGTACAAGATGTAATAAAAGATCATTGTTGGTTCCCACTGAGATGTTAGATTGTATCATTATTATTTTTGGATATTATTGCAAATGTGTTTTTTTTAGAATGACTTGCACAGGTCAGAAGATGTTGAGTATAAACAAGCACTCAGGGGAGAGGGCTTTCAATTAAAAGGAAGCAGTATTCAGCTGTCTGCAGTGTTGGACTCATTGATCAATCGCTGTCATTTTGTGTTACAATTGGCAATGCACAGATGCTGCTTTGTTTCCCCTGATTTCAGTGTTTGTTAGACTTCTAAGCTATATCTGAATGGTTAGCTCGTTCGCCCATCCATCCCAGAGAACCAAAACCAACAGGCTCATGTGCTGCGGCTCTGCTGATAGCCTCAGTAAACAAAAGAGTGAATGAATGAAGAGAGAGACAGAGAAACAGAGAGCATGAGGCCACAGACAGGTTATGTAATCAATTAGTGATCTTTGGCCAAGCCATAATTCAAAGATGTAGTTGCAAGGGTCAACCTCTGCATTAGGATGTTCTAGAAAGTTATCCGTCTAAACCTCCAGTTGGGAACTATTATAGCCATTGAAGGTAAAATAATAATAATTAAAGGAACCACATGTGTTATTTAAATCTCTATATAATACCCCACTCCCCTGGCTCCATTATTATTGTTTCTTATTTACCTAGGATACCGACGATGGCCCTTTTAAATCTTGTAATATATAAACAGATGTATTTAGTCTTCAGGGATGTATACAGAATAGGAATATATATTGTACATCTCCATTCATTACCTCCCCCTTAAAAGAAAGGGAAAAAGTGATGGTTTAACTGATGCTTGTTGATTTTCATATAACAGCCCACAAACGGCTAAAACCAGCGCTCTTTAAAGCTACGAGTTCTTAGTTCTTAAGTCAGGAGCCATGGCCGTACCCACCATTGGGGTCACCGAGGTCCGGACCTCTGTAATTTTTTCGAGGTGTATATAATAAAAGTCGTGAAATAATTGCACATAATTAACAGGGTTCCTTGTAGTAGTTCCATTTAGTGGCGGTGGGGGCACTGCATAACTACGTAGCCTACATTAAAGCAAACCGAAGAAGACGTCATTGATTTATCAACAAACCTCCGCAGTCCAGACTTGTATCGGAGCAGCGGAGGAGTGATGAGGTATCTAGGGATCTGAGTCCAGCGGGCTGCTTGTGTTTCTATTCATCAGGACATCATATGACCAGCAGATCCTGTGTGAACGCTCTACGTTAGTCAGTGGACGTCCGACAACATGCCCAATAACTTATATTGCAACTATAGGCTATACTTTGGTTTAAATTCCATGAATAAAATAGCTAGATAGCTAAAGTTAATTTCATTCATCCAATGTCAGACCTTTGGTGCAATGTCAGACCTTTTAACGAAAGTTTCAATGCTTTTCTTTCATTATAATTTGAGTAAAAGGTTGAAGAGATAACATTTATTGTTTTCTTTTTCACTGACACAGATATAATAAAAAATACTATCTGTCCAAGCTTAGCTTTGGAAAACATATCTAGATCAGTGGTTCTCAACTGGTGGGTCGCGACCCAAAAGTGGGTCGCGGACCCGTTTCGAGTGTGTCGCAGATGTGTGAGTGAAGAAAAAATAAATTGAATTTCTTTTTTTTTTTTTTTGTGGAAAAAAAGTCAAACTTTTATTTTGAAGGCCCGATTTTCTAACGCTGTGCATGCAGTAGGCGTTGGACTGGAAGTACCGGAGACCATAAACGGTTTTGAAAACTTCTGTCACGTAGTGATCATCTTCTCAATAAAACATCTTTGCTGATGTTTTTTCGAGTCTTCTGGCCAATCAGAATCAAGATTGTTGCCGGAAGTCCCCACGGAGAATAACTTAGCGGTAGAACTATTCTTTATACATCCATGGGTACAACTTCAGATAAAAATGAACACATAATGAAATATGACCCCCGGTTTGATGATTGACAGGTCACAGAACAATGGGAGCAATGTACCAGAATGCGTAGTTTATATGTTAGTATTTCAAAAAATCTCCTGGGGGGTGAATCCCTGTTTTGGACATCAGTATTTACGAAATCCTGGATACGGGCCTGTCAGGAGCCGTTCAGCTTCAAGTTTAGACCTGGAAAGTAAAGGGTGAATAGATGAGTAGTTTTCACTTCAGCCATTTGCTGAGTGGCTTTTTTTTCCAGCACTAATCTCCTTAAAGGTGGGGTAGGTAAGTTTGAGAAACCGGCGCGAGATACACTTTTTGTTATATTCCATGGAATGCTCTTAACATCCCGATAGCAATGAATATCTTAAGTGCTTTGACAAAAAAATCCATAAAGAAATGTCATCTGTGGAAGCCGTAGTACTGTAAAAAGCACGACCAATCATTTTAGCCGGCCCGGCTAAAATAACTGGATGGCCTACCTGCCTGTCAGCCTTCCATCTGTGCACAAACTTATCTCGTGCCCTCATTGGTCATGTGCGCGTTCGTGTGTGTTGGAGGAGGGGCTCTGTAAGGAAGTGGCAGATTTGTTTAATTCTAGCGCACTCGAGCTGGTTTCTCCAAAATTGCCTACCCCACCTTTAATAACTTATTGGTACATGTTGGATAAAAAACGTTTCTGTTCTCCTTTACAACAAGTGGTTTATACTGACAAATGCAATGTTAAGTGCCATTTTGAGATCCTTAGGCAAACGGCCCTAGGTATTACAATTGTACACCTTGTTAAGTATTGTTATCAAGATAAAAACAATTCGTAAAGTGTTATGCTCGCGATATACACGGTTATGGAGCTGAACAATAGAGTAAATCATTGTAGCTCCTAAAATAAAATGTATACTGTATATAAAGCTGCATCGTGTGTAATCAGTGAATTCCCATGATGGAATATGTTAAATCTTTCCGAATTTCATACATAATAAACTTTGGTCACATAGCTAAACAAAGTGCATGAAGTTTCCAACAACATTCTTCACTATGTAAAGACAAAAGCCACAGAGAAGCCAACAAGCCTCTCTACCCTGGGAAGGAATCCGTTAGCATGACATCAATTACTCTGCTAGTAATGAAGATAACCTTGCTCTTTGTTACCAAGTAGATGGGGGAGGGGAGGGGAGAGCGAACAGATAATTACTGGGCTAAATTACTCATCAGAGCTGAACTGGAAATATATCAAATGTCCGCTACTTTAAGCATGTGTTTTTTCTCCTTTGACTGACAAAGTGACCTCCGAGGTAGCAGCCCTTGCGCCACTTGTTAGCTCTGTGGTCACAGAAGGCTAACCTCTTTCTTAGATCTTTGAAATCTACACCTGTTCTCCAAAAGCACTTCTTTAGTGGAGTGTTCAAGCTTCTTCTCTTTGGAGAGTCGTGACAAAGGCAGTGAATGTTTTGTTAGAATCGCATCCATCGTTCCTCTTAACCATCAACATTGTCACTCTCAAAGTTTATGGTTAGGAATAAGGACAAGTTTAAGCGTCTCCCTCATACAGACCCCTTTAAGCAGGTGAACATCAACCCACTTCGGTTACACTCATAAATAATCAACCTGTTTGCCCACTTCCTGATGACAGAACCGTAGATTACTTCATTCTTATTTTGAAATGTTTAAAGTACGCTCGTTGATTGGTGAAACAGACTTCTATTGTTTACTCAAACCTTTTTTCCTGAAAGAAAATTGCCAAATTGCTGACTAGATTTATTTGGTAGCACACTTTATCACTTTTTACAATTTCCCTTAAAAATGTGATAATAATGACATATAGCCTTGGATGTAAATTTGGACCAAATCATGGTGCCATTTGAATGCAGGGTCTTTCGTCACATTAGGTTTGGCCGTGAGCCACATCCTTTCTAGGGAAAGTTTGGCAGGGTCATGTTTATGTCTACAAGATCCACCCGCCTTAAGCCCTGCCTCTCATTTCCCTCACCTCCTCTCCACATACTCAGTCCACTGTAGCCTTTCGCTAAGCACAAAGTTAGGCAAAGCCAGTAAAGTGATAATCCTCTTAGGACACTCATTGCTTATTTGTCAGGGTCCAAATAAAGCATGCAATTATGGGATTTAGAGGGGAATCTCTGGTTCACTCTGAGCTCCCGCTGTGGGACGAGGTGGGAAACAGGCATTGGACAGGCTTGGGAGGCGGAGATAAGGCCCTTTGGAAAAAGGAGAGCGGGATTTGTGTAAGCGTCACTGCTGTCTGCTATATAAATAGCTGGATGTTGACACTGACTAAGGAATGTTACCTGTTCGTTACCTGTTGCCTATAGACTACATTTACACAAACGAGCTTTCAAATAAATGTGCTTCTGTCTTCAGATAAAAAGTATTTCAGGAAAACATTTAATATTTTATAGCTGTCTGAATAAACAGTTTGTGCATGGGATAGTTATGAGAAGATTTTTTTGAATGTATTGATAAGTTGTAGAAGACGGTAAAGGTAGACAAGCCACTATTTCAGTATTGTAATTGTTTACATGATTAAATACATACTTTTCACAGCAAGCAAGTTTATAAATTAAAGGTGGGGTAGGTAATTTTGGAGAAACCAGCTCGAGATCGCTAGAATTTGAAAATACACAGCCGGAAAAAATCTGCCGCTTCCTTACAGAGCCCCTCCTCCAACACACACGAACGCGCACATGACCAATGAGGGCACGAGATAAGTTTGTGCACAGATGGAAGGCTGACAGGCAGGTAGGCCATCCAGTTATTTTAGCCGGGCCGGCTAAAATGATTGGTCGTACTTTTTACAGTATTACGGCTTCCACAGATTACATTTTTGTATGGATTTTTTGTCAAAGCACTTAAGATATTCATTGCTATCGGGATGTTAAGAGCATTCCATGGAATATAACAAAAAGTGTATCTCGAGCCGGTTTCTCAAACTTACCTACCCCACCTTTAAGTGACATTGAATGTGTCATTTTTCTAGGCACAACAGAGGCAGTATTTGTAGTTTTCTTTTGTTGGTTCTTTCACAGGCTGCGTGTAATGGTTTTGCATTAAATTCAAATGTTGCATTGTCATTTGCAGCCTACGCTCTCTATGACTACTGCAAACAATCCATCCGCTTGTGCTTCTTAAAATATACATAATATACATACATGCTGTATGTACATATTACAATAATTACTGGTTTTCACCTCTTAATTTGCTTCTTTGTTAAAAGCCATTTGAGATACTCCACAAACATTCAATAACGCATGCACCACAATATTATGAAGCTGAATCCACACTACTGAATTTCAAGTGAGTTGAATTTAATGTCCACAATTGTAAGTATATTTTTCGGGGTGTCATTTTAAAAGAAGTTACTTTTCTTAGTGTCTAACCATTTGATTTTAGTGATGACAAGCTGCAACATATAACTTCATCATAGATATTAGGTGTCCCGTTTACTTATTTTATTGTTTAATTTTCCTACAGCGTTGTCAACTCCCAAACTAAGAATGGTGCCACACCGCTCTACCTGGCCTGCCAGGAGGGTCACCTGGAGGTCGTCCAATACTTGGTCAAGGATTGTGGGGCGGATCCGAGCATCAGAGCCAATGACGGGATGACACCTCTACACGCTGCTGCCCAGATGGGCCACAACACTGTCATCGTCTGGCTAGTATGTTGGGATGTCAGTCAAAATACCAAACCTTGTAGAAAATATAGTACATTGATTGAGTCCTCAATCCACACCTCGTAATATATGGTTATATTGTGTTTAAAAAAACTATTTATGTTGTCATTAAATCATCAATGTCTGATGAGGCAAATTACATTTTCAAATATTTTTTGAGTATCAGGCCGAGTATAGTCATTAAAAAAAAGGACTCATTAACACTAAAAGAATTTTGAAAAGTGCTCCTAGTCAATACAGCAGACGATGACTAACTCGTTATCTTCGCTCTTTTAGATGAGTTTCACAGAGATCAGCCTGACAGGCAGGGATAATGACGGGGCCACAGCGATGCACTTTGCAGCCAGCCGGGGCCACGCCAAGGTGCTCAGCTGGCTGCTGCTGCACGGCGGAGAGATTGTCACTGACAACTGGGGAGGGACGCCGCTTCACGACGCTGCAGAGAACGGTGAACTGGAGGTGTGTTTTTGTGTTTTTCTTCTACTGTTGTACAGTCAGACTGAAACTAACAACACGAGTAAAAGCAGATGAGTGGTTCACACTGAACCATCTGTTTTGAATGAATGGCCTCATGCTTACCACCACTCTGACCTTCTGCTTTGAGTAACGTATTGTTGTATCACAGTCTGGTCACGCAGATGACCACAATATTGATGTGTTGCAATCAGAGAAAATTGAACATTTTCTCTGATTTTTACACCACATTGAAGTCGAATTGACATTGAACTCAATGAAAAATTACCCTTACCCTGACTCTAAAGATGCTGGCCTATGGATTAGATGGTTCGAGACTCATAAGGTCCTATTTTTCAGCCCACCTTTTTGCTGCCTTATAACCAATCCAGGTGTAGGTATGGGTCTTTTTAGATCTTGAATCATTATATATCAAGTGTAAATATAATAACAAAAGTTAATAGTTTAACTTTTTAAAGTTTCTAAACAGTAATCATCTCACAAAGCTTTATGTAAGTTATATTTATTCTGACTGAAGCAAGCTGATTTAGTGCACGGCTGTCACATTGACTGCTACTGTCATTTTCTCCATCTTATTCATAACTTCTACCACTCTCTCCGTGTCTCTCATGTCACTCTCCAGTGCTGTCAGATCCTTGTGGTCAATGGGGTGGACCTGGGCACCAGGGACCAGGACGGCTTCACAGGAGCAGACCTGGCTGAGTACAACGGCCACTCCCAGTGTGCCAAATATCTGCGCACTGTGGAGAACATGGTAAGAGACACAGCTGTGCACCATGACTAACTCGAACCTCCCTAAACCTAGAGGGAATTATCAGTGGGGATCAAAGTCCAATCTTACAAAAATATAGCATAAGTCCGAAAAAATGAGGTTTAAATTGTGTAAATGCTGTTAACATGATCTTCATTAAACTACCAAAGAAGGAAAGAAATCTCCAACCTACTCTATACTAAATAAGATTACCCCAGAGCTGAATGCGGTGACAGGCAGTCATCATAAGTGACATTCATGGGCAATTGGACCATAGATAGAACCAGAATAAAGTACAATATTTGTTTTAGACAGAACATTTGCACAGCACATAATGTGAAATGTTGCCTTGTTTGATTAAATAGCAGCAAAATTGCCCAACTTCCACTTTATCCGCATCTGCATGAAATGATGAGTTATCATTCCTGCTTTAATACTTGTTCCATGACCAAACTGTAGTCCAACTGTTATCAGTCAAACTTATCCTTTAAATATGCTAATTAAAATACATAATTGGAATTCTTCCTTTGTTGATCCCGCAGTGCCCAAATGCAACCATGGAAAAAAAACAAGCTGGCACTGAGCCAACATGTCCCTCGACTGGCATCAGTTGTTGCCAATTATCGGGGCTATTAACTCTTGGTATACAGTGTACTCCACGGCTTCAACCACACAATATCCCCAAGTGGCCAGAGGAATAATAAGCCCTCCACACTGAACTCTGTCTGGTGTGTGGGAAACATATTTCCCCCCCCCCCCTCTGGGACTCTTTCCATTAGGGACATTCAGCGAACTGAGTCCCGTGCTGTGGGAAAAGCAGAGGGCTCCAGAGCCTTTTTGATCAGCTGTGAGATGTTTCATTAGTGTGCAGTAATTAAACTCATAATGCTGTTCTCCTCGTGTAAGTCATCAGGGAATAAGAGGTAGTAGGATTTATGAACTGATGAATGAACGGATAGATAATAGATTTATTTATTTATTATACTTATTTATCTTTCATGTGTAATGACACTGTATCCTTTTACATTAAATAGAATGAACCATACATGTTAAATAAAACTGATATGATGATGGCTGTTTTCATGAACTGCATCTTTTGACAGAGTGTGGAGCACCGTGTTTTGTCCCGGGACCCCTCAATGGACCTCGAGTACAAGCAGCCGGACTCGGGTCTCTCGTCCCCAAACACCACCATGCCCCCCGCCAGCCAGGCGGCACACTTTGACATCAATTCACCATCCAGCTCTCTGTCCAACTACGACTCAGCCAACTCCAGCCAGTCCAGCACTGGGGAGAAAAGGAGCAGCTTGACCACGACACGCGGGCCGCCAGCTCAGCTGAACACAGTCGCACACACAGGTCCGTGAGAACGAGTTATAAAAACATGAAGCTTTTAAACTTCAGACTACAATTTATTTTTAGTTAGGAGAACCAACAAGGGGACAATGAGTTTAGGCTTCTAAATGTTTAAATAATCATAATATTTCCACCATTCTGCTTCTTAAATGAAATACCAAAAACGCTAGATGAAAAATCCAATATTTGTACCCTCAAACTATTTTGATGATCTATTAATGGCTAAATACATTTCTATTTGTAAACAAGCTTTGCTGTCTTCAGTCATTTAGCTATACATTCTCAAATGCCATTTCTTGTACGTGCAACATATAGTATCTGAGCAATAGTGGAACGCCCTAGATATTTACTGAAGTAGAGCCAGCATGCAGCAGTTTGCACAGGTGTATAATATACTGGTGCTGCACCCTAGTGGTCTGCATGCAGATAGTTTGTTTGGATGAGAGGTGGACCATCATTAGAGTAACTCATGTTTCATATGTTTGAATGGTGCATTGGGAAAAGCAAACTGAGCGAATGTTTAAAGGGTTATGCAACACTTTGCTGTATTAAGTGGACCGTGTCTTCACAGGTGCATCAGAGTCAGCCATTTCAGACATGCAGGCGTATATGGACATGCTAAACCCAGACATAAGATCTGAAGTGACCAAGAAGAACGAGATACCTTCTGATGCCGCCTCCAAGCCCCCACCACCACCAACCTATCCACCCCCGCCTCCCCCACAGGCCCCCCCGTCGCCTCCTCCACCCCCCAGCTTTCAAGCACCAACGCCCCCTAAGGAGCCGACATCAGCGGAGTTCCTGAAGGTGAAAAGCAACCTGCGACACGTGGACAGCAACACCAGCAAGACGGAGGTGAGGACAGAGTTTGTGCATGAGTTCAAAGGTTCTATGTGTTTTTTTGCAGCATATTATATACAGTGGGTGAGGTAATTGTTGCTCAAACATGCATAAATATTCCCAAGTTTGGGAAAACAAATTAAGAAGTATTTGCTGACTATTAAATGATGAGCAATATGGAACAATCCAAAAGAAGCAGAAGGATGGTGGTGTTTGGCCATTAGCTGCCATTTTCCCTTGTGTCTAATCAGTTGGGCTACTGCTCCATTCGGGCTATAGCTTTTGTGTAACAATGTTCCTTGTCTTGGTGCGTACAATGATGTTATTGTGTTAGAATGGTTAACGAGGCTAACAAAGATGCTCATTACCGTGGCAGGCCTGACAACACAATGGTTGTTGTGATGGGTCTGATCTTAATTCCAGTAATTAATCTGGCTACAGATCACTCAAAATTGTGATGCAGAGCTGACAATTAAATTGGCATCAACATTACTTTCAGTACTGCTGGTGGTTTAGTTCTGCTGTGAAGTACGTTATCATTTGTTGTTTAATCTTATTGATTTGGACAAAGAACACTACAATTTGGGAAAAAATAACCAATCCAAGAGATGACTTTCCCCTCATGAAAAACGTATTTCCTAGTTGTTACCAAGACTTCCAGTATGATAACAGCACATTTTCCAAATTATTATTGTGCCTAAATCAACCTAATTAAAGGTTTTCTGTTGTTTATGGTGTCATCTTAAAGCAGAGGTGCAGTATAAAGTCAGGGAATGGTAGAATCAGCTGATATTTTGGAGAAAACAATAGTTATGACAGAAAGACGAAGGCTATGTGTAAAGATCTGCTATGCGAAGTCAGTAGTTGTTCGCTGTTCTAAAGTCCACAGGTAGCAACAGTGTCCCGTCTCCAGGGTGATCTGTGTGCGTTTGCACGCATGCGCCATCAGCCATATAGGGGAGAGCTTTAATTAGTGCCACCCCCTCTCCTACCTGTACCCAGGTGACCAGCCCGGGGCCAACCCTCATTAACTATTTAACAAAAGCCAGTGCAGATCACATGCACAAATGCGTGCACACACACAGACACACACAATTAAGATCAGTGTCTACCATATACATTGGGAAAAACAATCTACCACGGGCGCCATAGTAACAGGGAACAGTAACTTTATCCAGGGACACAGCCGATCAGATGAACCAATCTTACAACATGGAAATGTATTCAGCCGGTTGGTGGTATAGCAATCTTATTTAAAAAAACAAAACAGATTCATGATTAATGAAATTATTCAAATAATAATTTCCACAAATAATACAAAACCAAATGATTGCACCAGCCACGAAAAACTGGTACATACCAGTTATTGATATCAGATTAAAAATAAATAAATAATACAATCAAGCATCCATTAAAAAACGTTTAACCCTTATTTTTTTTATATAAAGTGATGTCTTTGTGGCTGCTTAGCTCACCTCATTTGTCTGTATTTGCTTTGACTGAAGTCAAATGTTGCGTGTGAAGCAGCCACACAAATGACTGCTTTGCCTCCCACGTTTTTTATACCTACTGTTGGCCAGAAAACCTGGACTTTGAGATCTCATACTGGATTAGTATATTTTCTGCTGGTAATTAAGGCTAAAATATTCTAATAATCCTAGGGGCAGTGCCTGGGACTTTGTGTTTTGCATAAGAGTATAGCCCTTAAGAGCCACTGGGGCAGGGTTGGGGAGTGGTTGGTCTGCGGGCTAGAGGTGACATCATTGCCACTGCTGGGGCCGGCCTGATAGGTAATTGATGAGGCCTGTGGGTAAAGTGAGAGGGCAGGTAGAGTGACAGTGCAGCCCGGAGGAGGGAGGAGGGAGGAGGGAGGAGGCGACTCTGAATTTGGTGACAGCCACTCTGTGCTCTGCTTGGCTTTGTGGATGAGGCTCTGTCAAGACTGGAGGAGAGCTGCAGGAGAGGATTATTAAAGCCAAGGTAAGGTGTGAAGAAGAGTAAAATGGCGTTGTTTAAAAAGAAATTGGTAGCAGATACAGAAAATATATCACAAGTGTATTTGTGTTTTTTGTCTTATTTTCAGGTGCTGAAGTTATTGGAGCTGCTTTATGGTTGAACAATAATGCTTTGCATATTGTCAGGTTTAATTTTGTACTTTTTCAAAAGTACTTTTTTTTTTTACTTTTTACACATTTCAAAAGGGCGCATACAGTATAGATGTCTACAATGCATACAAATGCATTTGGCTGTGAAAACAAATATACAAAAATGACTTTATGCTGACAGATAGATCTGTATAATGGGGAGAAAGGCGGTCCGTCTGTGTTTGTATGTCTGTGTGAAGGATGAAAGGGAGGGGGGCTAAAACGCTTTGTACATTTTGCTTTTGTTGGCCCACCTCCCTGGAGGATGACAATCAAACCATCTGTAGCGCTCCCCTGCTCACATTTCCCTCCCACCTGATGAGTGCTCAGGGACAATGTCTTTGACAGCAGACATAAGTCAACATCATTAAGCTGGTTTATAAGAACTCAGAACATGACACCACAAAAGGAGGAGAGGTCAGAGGTCAGCTTTCAATTATTTCAGCTTGCGTTAACATTGGAGATCTGCTTGACCTAAATGTACGCAAGTATAATGCTGATCCTTGATTTGAAAGTCAAAGGAACTGTACATTTTGCTATGATGACTCAGTCATGATTATTGACAGCTTTTAAGCTTGTTTATTGTAAAAAATATACAGTGAAAAGTGCATTCACATTTAAACACAATGTTTAATGTAAATATTTAATTTATTTGTGAGCAACACACTCAATGCAAATGCAAGGCTCTTTGCATTATGTAAAGTATGCACTGATTTACCTGTAGGCTTCTTTATGTTAGTGATTATGACTGCTTGAAATGCAGCAAGGTGAGCTAACTTACACATGTCAAATAGCAGCTTACAGTAAAATCTGAAAAGATGATCAGAAGTTTGATATCCTACCTGCCGGGTCCTGTTGCCGGAGATAGATGTCAGGTAAAAAGTGAAAGGTCAAAGTTATTGAACTATCATGCTATGAGGAAATAGGGGGCTCTCTTATACTTTGGAAAAGTTATCTCTTATGTTCTGGGGCCCCTGCAGTCTATACATGACACAGTGTTAATGTTTTACTGAACTAAAGCCTTGTTATGTTATTCAAATCAGGCTGCTTTGGTCACGCGAGAGAGCTAATCTGGAAACAAACCCTACTAAGTATGTCTTACAGTATGTCGGCTCACAAAAGACAAAAGCAGGTTTTAGCCATATTAAAATCGGCCATTGTATAATGTTGGCGACTCATTTTAGAATCATAGTTTAATCACCTTTCTTTAACCCTGATTACTATACAAAATGTAACTACATGTTTTGCAAAGTGAACTATCCCACAGTGCTATTTCCATTTTCCATTTCCTGTAATGACAAGAAATGTACTTCCTTGTATATCATTTTAAATTGGGCTGAAAATAAGGATTATTTATTTTTCACTGATTAATATGGGTACCGGCAAATATGGCTAATGAAAACTCTCCGTTTTTGTATTTCTTAAGCAGCTGACTCCTGGAGAAAAACACGACAAATTGCGGCGTGTGGATTCAAACAGGAAGTCAAGGAGTTTCAGTAAGCAGCCCAGCACTGGGGATTACTACAAGAGCCTGGGCAGCGACACAGCCGAGCCCCGAGGGAGCAAAGGGATGGCGCCCAACGAGGAGGTGAGCCGGATCTCTGCAGTTTACATAAATATATTTGAAATATTAGAAGGGGTTCTGCCACCATTAGTGGTAGTTCAAAAACATACTGTAAAATGCTATATGTGAATAGGTTACCACAACAGAGGATCTGTATTGCTCTGTATTCACATTTATTTCCATAAACCAACAGGCACTGACCTGATGACTGAAAGGAAAATGCCACCATTATAATATTATATTACACGTGGGTGGTTGGAAACACGCTGTTTCACACATTAAAGGTCCCATGACATGCTTTTCTGGTTATTACCCGTCCCCTTGTGTGTTATGTAGCTTTTTCTGCATGTAAACGGTCTGCAGAGTCACAAACCCTCAAAGTACACCCTGTAGCGAGTAAAACTCAGAAAAGACCTGTCTATGCTGCCCCAGAACGCCTCGTTGGAGATTTTTCTTTTTCCATTTTTTTCTTCCTGGTCACAGTGACGTAACGACGACCAAATGGACCAATCCGTGGAGCTCCTCACACACACACACACTCACTCAGCCTTATCTTTTCTCAGCCGCGCTACTCCGCGGAGTTTCGCCGGCACACACACTCACTCAGCACTTATCTTTTCTCAGGCTGTGAGTGTGTGGCGAACTGTGTGGCGAACAGCCTGGCTGTGATTGTGTGAGTGTGTGTGTGTGTGTGTGTGCTCAGGCTGAGCTTCGCTGTCTCGCAGACCCCACGCAGCAACCAGGAAACGACACCAGTAATCCAGCTCACACTGTCCGCTCCTCGAGCCTCAAAGGGCGGAGCAGCGAGCCGCGCAACGTCCCGCCAACACGGCACCCAGACCCCACGCAGCATTCTCATCTGTTTGTCATTACTGGTGTCCTTTTCTGGTTGCTAACAAACGCCATTGTAACACATAATCACTGATCTTCAGCTGTAACGGTGGTGGACTCATCGGAACAGAGTGGGCGAGCTGACCAATCAGAGCAAAGTGGGCTCATAGGGAGGGGAGGGGCAGGAGCTCCAACAAGGTGTGCAGGACAGAGAGTGAATACACATACTATACAGAGATGCTGTATGAGAAAACCAATGTGATTTTGGAACATTGAACAATGTAAATCTATTCTAGAAGACCTCAACAATGGAATTATGATCAGTAGAAATGGCCATGTCATGGGACCTTTAAGATAACACAGCTAACATTTTTTTCATATTTATCATATTAAAAAACCCACATACATTGTGTTTCTGCCAGTCATTGTCATTCATTGGGAAATAATCTCTTAATCCAATCAAATGTCCTTTTGAAATGGTGCAGCCTTTTTCATTGTGCCGGCAGCTAATTTCAGACAAGATTCTATTTGATAGAGTTGATTATAATTTACAATGTTAAAATGTTATTATGTATTTGTAAGTAACTAAGCATGCTTTAAAAAGTAAAAAAAAATAGCTGTAACCCTGTTATGGGTAAAAGGTTGATACGTGTGCCCTGGTTGTATTGTTTAAGTTTGTTAGTGCTTCTTATAAGGTCCTGTTCAGGGTGAGGTTTAGCTGAGTGATGGTGTGTTGGCGTTGGGTTACCACAATGACTGCACTATTTGCCTGCGCATTATGCCACTCAGTGTGTTACATAGTCTCCTGTCCCCCTTGGCTTTTGTTTGCCACCTGATGCAAACGTTTCCCTCATTTCCATTTCCTCGAGTCTCCACCCTGTTGTGTAAACTGTCCAACAACCAACAATAGAAAAAAATCAGGACAATAGAGCACTTAGCAGGGAGTCACAAATCACCCAAAGTCAATACCACTGAATCTAACATGTACCAATATTAGGTTGCATTTATTAGTTGTTTTATTGAATTTATTATTTATTATTTTGATTTATCTTTTCCAAAAGAGCTTAAACCCACAATCAAGTCTGTAAGAAAACACATAATATATTACAGACTTTGTAATCGTTCAATTCACTCATGTATTACTGATTATTTTGAAGCCTGAAGCCATACAAATTGAAACAGCGTTGTGGTCATAAAGCACCTGTTGTGGCCACATACCGGCACAGGCATCTTAATAATAGAGTCTATTGGACTCTCATCAATGTCCCTGGAGAGGTGTTCTTATAATCTCATGGGTATCAGTAGTGGGGGCGATACAGGGCTCAATCCGCATTGAGCCAATTAAGGTCTCAGTGGGGCCCCTCCTGGTCTCAGAGGCACCCTAGCAGATGGGCGGCTAATCATCAGGAGCAACGGCACGTGCCGCCAAGACCCATCTGGACACAGCCCTCCCCCAACTCTCTGGGGGGATTGAAAAGTAAAGGGGGCAACAATGATGAGCACGCGTATGAAGAACTAAGGAGGGGCGGGGTCAAATTAAATGTCACGGCCCATTAAGTTGCTTCCCGCTGAGTTATGGCACGCTTTCAGAGCGTGTCAGGCACGTGCATGCTGGGGTGGGGGCAGGGTGGGGGGGGTTAAAGCCCTATCACTTGCAGTGACAGATGGCTTCTTCCCACTGTTTTCACTCAGTTTCCCCAAGAGATTAGGTCTTATTAGCTCTTTTATTAGCAACAGGGTGTTATGTCTTTATGAGTTGATTAAAGATGGCAGGAAGCAGAGGGAGGGCACATCTAATAGAGCAGCTGCATCTGTCACTGACGGCAGTCTCTATGAAAGAAGGTATTGCTCATTCACAGAAAGAGTTTTAGATGGCATGCCACTGTCACAGTTTTGTGTTGAATTATTTTAATGAAATAAAAAATTATATTTTCAGTGTTGGTTTGTTATTCATTAGTCTAAAAAGGTGTTCTAAAGAAGTGTTTTGATTGTTTAAAATCTTTATGTTTTCTTAATTGTAATATAAGTTATTTGATAGGTTTTAAGAATATAACAGCTTGCATAATACAAAAAACAAATAAAAGAATCATACTGATTACCAGGGGCTAAAAAAGTATTAGGGATTTTAATCATCAATGTTGGAGTGGTATTTCAAGTATCACTTTATGGGCCACTGGTCATATTCCTGTTATCAGTGACCACATATTGACTTACACAGTAATACAACAATGTGGTTGCTAAGAGAAAGTTAATGTGTGTAAAATATGACTAATATTTGTGTCCCTCCCTCTTGTCCCATCAGGGCTCTGTGTTATTGGAGGAGCCGACCGACAGCCCGGCCCACAGCTCAGAGAACGGCACCACAGAGGAATCAGCTGCACCGCCCCCTCCTCCACCTCCGCCCCCTCTACCTCCAAACAACCCCACGCCAACACCCCCTCCACCTCCTCCATTGCCCCCGGAGACGCCAACCACCCCTCATCACTCTGCCGGTAGCACCTCCAACAACCAGCGACGCCTATCTTCCTCATCAGGAAGTGAGTGTCATTTAACTATTTTTTTCTCCTTACATCCTTTCTTCTTTTTTTTTAAACATCCTTTCAATGTCCGCCTATTTCTTGGCACTACACAAATGGCAATGCATTTATGCAAATAAATCCAGTTTTTATGCTTATTCATACACACTTATACCAAGAATATATAGCCTCCAGTATTAATGGTCACAATGTAATCACACTGGGTTAAGATGAATTGAGTCTGACCCCAGCATCCTAAATAACAGATTATAAATTAATGATGTAGAGCTACCATTACCCTGAGAACTGGTTTAGTGTTCATCCATTTCCTTAAGTGCCCAACACTGCCCTGTATGCAGCTGACTGACAGTCTACACGCTGTCGCACGGACATTTCAACTGATCTGACCAAGGCTCCCATGAATCTTAAAAATGCACAAAAATGTAGGATTGGAAGGAATAAATCCTTTGGCCAATGCATTGTCTCCTTCCAAAATACTTTATTATAAAATTGCATGCGTAATCCTTGTAAAATATCAAGATCATATAATGGACTATCATCATTTGTCAGAGGCCTACATAAGAAAGGTTTAACTCATTAGGAATCAATCCAAAAATAATAAGTATTTATTATATAACACACTACAAACTTGGAAGCAAATGAAGCGCAAAACGTATATATACACACAAATAGTGACCTTGCTCAGTCTTTCCTGTCAACTGTGTAACTTCAGAGAAGAAGAGGAAAACGTCCTAAATTAATAATCGTTATATTTTCACATTTGGAAATATGTGAGGGATCCAAGATGTCTGGGCATGCAATAGGGGCTCAGTGGTCAGACAGCAGAATGAAAAGTAACAAGATACAGGAAACGCATATTTGGTTATAATTAAAGAACAATCGCTTCGATTTCAGTTGTTTTCCTCCGCATTAACCCCTTTATGTACATTACTGTTCCTTCTTTCATCTCTACTCGGCTACTACCATTTGTTTTTTCCTCTTGACTATCATATTAGAAAGTATTTACAGTGGGTCACTAATGAATGTTTTAGTAAACTAACTAACAATAAGGATATTTCTTCTCAACTTTGTCATTCTCATCACCAGAGTGAAGGGGATCCATATTGTTGGACAAGCACTGTGGTTTACAATATACTTTTCAAATAAAAGCAGTTTAGCTTAGGTGCTAAAAAATAACTAAAGCTACAAAAAAATAAATGTGTATAAAGATGAGTACTCTTACACACAGTATACCAGGAAGCTCATTTTAAACAAAGGTGAATTGTGTCATAGCTGACAAGCAGCTCACTGGGCAACATACACCACAGGTTTTTTTATAAACCAGTAATATACAGCAACATCAATTAAGCCGTAAATTATTAATTGCACTATTTAGGCACCTTTTTACAATCTATGCATTTTATCTTTACTCTTTGTTCAACAAATATCCAATTGTCTCATCTCTTTATGCTCCACCTGCTGCCTAATGTTAGGAAACCAATAAAACACTTAAAGCTAAAGAGCAGAGTGTGCACACTAATGGCATGATTTGTGCTTCAGCGTTAATCTTGTAATAAACAGACAGTTAGGGCGTCATAAAATGAAAAGCCACCAACACATCTGAGAGCTCAAGCTGATTTTACTGCTCAGATAGACGCGAGACGATGGCAACAAAACAGGTGGCTGAAGGAAAGTGCTGCTACAACCATTTAAATTGATTGACGTTCTCTATTGTTGTCTATTGTTGTCTATTGTTGTCTATTGATCAACAGGAAGGAGAGGATTATACTTTGTACAGGACACATCTGAATCTGAGGTGCTAAAGAGCAGTGTTTGCTCCCTAATGATATGAGTTCTTCAACAGCGTCAGGTAGTAAACAGACAGTTAGGGAGTAGTCATAAAACATTACTGCTGAACATTGGAGACTTTGTTTTTATATTACAGGAAACATCTCTATCTAAAGTGCTTTGCGACAGCGCTGCTATGAACAGATGCAGCAGCCTGACTGTCATTTCTAACACGGAGCAGAAAAGCTTTTGTGCTGTGATCATAAGAGGGCATTTGTCAAATGTTCGCTACCTGTCACAGCTCCACCCTCCTTAGACTCACTGTGGGTCCACACCTCTAAGCCTAAACAGAATAACAGAATAACAGAAACACACACACACACACACACACACACACAAAACTACTATGGCTACTACGTTCTATTCAAACAGATATACACCAAGTTAAGTGCAATGAAATTGCTCATTCTTCAAAGACATCTGATAATTAAGAGATTCTGGTGCTCTGCAATGAAGATTTGTCAGGGAAAATGGATAAAGGTAGGCTGCAAATATAATCTGTTAACCAACCCTAAAAGCTGTCAATGTGTGAAAGTGTGTCAGGGTTCAGTCTCTCCTTTTAATCACAAGCCTTTTAAAGACCACAGTTTGACCATCACCTGGTACTCTTACTTTCTCTGTAATCAGTAAACAAGAAGTGAAAAAGAGGTAAATGAGGTGTATGCAAGTGTTTGCTGCAGTAAAAATTGGTCTGGCAAGGTGGACTAACAAACTGTGTGTATGAGTGTTCGCCAAACTGCATCTCTCCATGTGTTAATCTGTCCGGCTTGCCAATGGCTTGCTGTCACTTTCAGTTACTGGTGATTCCTTTAGACTTCCCCCAACTGTGATGATGGGTCTGGAGAGCTGCTCTCTACTCCCAGAGAGAGAGAGAGAGCGAGCGAGAGAGAGATAGAGAGAGAGAGAGACTAGTGAGGCTTTGAGCCCAGCTAGAGAGAGAGAGAGAGAGAGAGAGAGAGAGAGAGAGAGGGGATGAGAGAGAGAGAGAGAGAGAGAGAGAGAGAGAGAGAGGAGAGAGAGGAGAGAGAGAGAGAGAGAGAGAGGGAGGGTGGCGGCGGACTCGTGAGGCTTTGAGCCCAGCTAGACCATTGTGTAGCCGCCTCAACAAGGAACTTCTAACGGGAGGACTATTCTTTTTATTACCCAAGTAGAAAATGAGTGATCAATGAGGAACTGAGGATTCATAATTTATTGGAGGTTGACATTCACTGAAACAGGTGAGGTAGCCGACGCCTCTTGGTCTGTTTGGCCCAATACATTACAAATAAATGTTAGTTATAATAGTTCACTCTACAGTATATTAGTAGTTTGTTAGTTTGATTAGGATTAGACAATTTTCCAGCTACATGTTAAAAGTTTCTTGTATAAATATAACCTATATAATAACAAACTTGTTTATGTTCCATATTTTGGTACTTTCCAATTGGCACTAGACTTTACTGTCAGTATACATTTGTATTTGTTAATTCATGTGTTCATATATTTAGAAATGTTGAGGTTTTAAAAAACATTTGCATATAAATCAGCAGGTGTACAACATATGGCCTATCCTAGGCTTCTTTGGTGTTTCCTGTTTGAAACCGGATTTTTCTTTCATTTTGTCTATACTTAAAAAGTTGTTTTGTAATCGCATTTGAAGTGTATAGGAACATGAGGCATTGTTAACTATAAGCAGATTAGGGTCCATGGAAGCTGGATGTATATGCATTTTTCCCCAAACCTACTTTTTGAGAAGTTAAAAGTTCAGCAGGAGCTTAGCTGTGTATACATCAGGTGACAAGAGATTGTGTGCCTCCTCTCTTTGGGTGCACTGTAGTGAAATAATGTTGAATGGCTCCTCCCCATCTAATCCCGGCTCGCTGCAACTGTTGATTGAGGCCACAGTCGCCTCATGTGCCGAATTTGGTGTATTTGCAAAAAAGTACTAAATGGAGCTTGGTTGCTCGGAAGCCATTTGAATAATGCAAACTGTGTTTCAGAGAGACATGTCTTAAAGCACGACACAAAGACACTTATCAAGCTTTTCTATGTGAGACAGTGGCTCAGTACACCAAAATGACCTCCATGCAACACGCTCCAGGTCAGCATTGTTGCCTGCCTAATCGGATGAAATATTTAACACTGAAATGCCACCCAACCCTTCTCTCTCCCCCTCCTCTTCAGTGCATCTCTCTCACTCTCTCCATTTCCCTCTCTCACTCTATTCTGTCTTTCTCTCTGACCGGTTTCACTTTTCTGCTCCATCCTTTTGTCTGCAGGCACAAAATCTTTCAACATGATGTCCCCCACTGGCGACAACTCAGAGCTGCTGGCAGAGATCAAAGCAGGGAAGAACCTGAAGCCAACACCTCACAGTAAAGGCTACACCACCGTCTTCTCCAACAGCGGACCCACAGGCAATAATGTAGGTCTACAGCCTCCCACCATTACTGATGACACAATTGTGTAAAACTCAACAGATAAATACAGATTTGCTCATTTTAGAAATTCAGACTTAGCCTAACCTAAGTCATGCAAAACAATCCCACATCAAACATGTAATAAGGTATCCAAAACATGCCTCGCCTGTTACTCCAAAACCTTGTCAACCAGCCCTGGGGGATTCTTCCTTATTTATCACATCATTAGCAAAGGGACACTAAAGTAGTCATTTCCCAATTCCTAATTGTTAAATATACAGATTTGATACACACATTCTTTGATTTGTCTTGTTACCAATATACAATACCACGTTGCAATGCTTCTTCTAAAATATGTTGTCATTGGTCCCTTAAGGCTAGAATAAACGGGCAACTCAATTCATGCACATTACAATTGTATCCTTTATACTGATTGCGGTGTGTTCTGTATACTGTTGAGCATCGCAGTGCCTTACATATTGGTGTCTTTTTTTCTCCAGGAAAACCCATCTCCACCAGAGACACGCACACCTAGCCCACTAGGCAAGCAGCCACCCTCTCCCGTCTCCAAAGCATCTGTCACCTCCCCACCTACCACCCCTAGCCCCAGTCCTACTGGCTCTGGATCTGCCAGGACCATGTCGACCTCGGCAAGCTTCGAGCGACTGTCCTCTAACTCTGTGGTCAATGGTAATGGCGGTGGCTGCACAGCAGGAGCTGAGTCGGGGCGGAAGATGAGCCTTGCAGATGTGGAGGCGCTGGTGCCCACTCATGATGAACAGGGAAAAGCCATCCCTGAATGGAAGAGGCAGGTCATGGTGCGAAAGCTTCAGGTCAAGATGCAAGATGAGGACGAGCACAAGCGCAAGGTAGGCATAATGCTGCAAAGCTGCAGAAAGATCTACGTTTCATTTTCTCTAAGCTATCCCATTTGTGATCCGGTACATTCAAAATTATTGTGATTATAAATGGCTTCAGTTTGAAATTAAATATATTAATTAAAAACGCAAAGGGAATAGCTGTTGCATGGATTGGAGTGTTGTTTTTTGAGAATTTGAAGTATAAATGTACTTTTACTATTCTGTCAGCTAAACAGTGAGTGAGAATCATTGAAGGGGAAATCAGACTACAAGTTCATTTAGCATCTATGCTTTTCTTCATAGTTTAAGGAGAGTCTATACGTCAAATGACTGGCAGTTGGGGACTTATTTGCTTTGAATGGCCCTCACCTGGCTTGTACTTATCTTCAAAGCAAATCAAATTGCAGTGTTTAAGGCAGCATATTGATCTTGTTTCACAAATAAGCTTTGTTTCTAATTTTGATCATTAGGCTTGAAACCATATTCATGCAGTTATAGTATATGCATTTACACCAGGTATTGATTATTAATTCATACTATAGCAATCTCTGCACTTGTTAGTCCATAGTAAAACAAGAAGGCCACTATGTAGTATGTGATTTGATTGAATACATTTAACTGATTAATAATTCATTGTAATCAAGGATTGCTATCTCATATTCTTAAAGGATCTAGTAGGTAGAAATTGTCTCCAATGTCCCTGGTGACATGTAGTTCTTTGTTTGAGATGCAGTGGCATTATAATGTCTACCTGGCTTTGAGGCCTTAAAGTAACAAACTATTCTAACCACAAAGTATTTCAGTTATTTCATTTCCCACTGTAAATAACATACTGAAGCTGAAGGACTGAACCTTTTAGTAATTGCATGAAACTGCATTGGTCATATATAGACATCCATGTTCTCACTTATTTCTGGAAAAATCCTTGTTTCTTTATTTAACTTTGTGTATATGCATGCTTTCCTTTTTTCATATTCACAGTCTTTATTAATAGTAAGATACTCTTTTGGGTGCAGTGAATTGAATACTTGGCTACAATGCCCATCACAACATTAACACACTGGACAAATGGAGTCTCAATGTGAGCTGGTGTTTGCTGATGGAGTTTGGTGGCTCCAAGTTGTTACATGCTGATTCAGTGGTGTGATGACGAGCCCATTCACACTACAGGTGGTTTTGGAGGAAGATGAGGATACGTTATAGAGTAACTCCATACCAAGTCCCTTAATCAGAAAAACCTTTGTTGCACTGACCTCTTTGGGTTGACAGTTTCAACTTTGCTGCACCTCTAGCCACACCCAGTGTGTTTTCCTGTCACTGTTGGGTGTGGACTGAAGTGTATATCTGTTCCACTGGTGCTAGTCCCCAACAGTGATGCAACACTGCACTTAAGAGTCGTGTTACACCATATTTGGGATGCAGACAGATACAAAAACTCAACCGCTGGATGGCAGTAAAAGCAGAATATTTGTGTAGTTACTCTTTAAACTAACAAAAAACATAAATAACCTAAAAACTTTAGTGAGTAACCGTTATAAAGGCTTTGAATAGTTATGTTAAATATGTTGTTAATCCTTAACACTTAAAAGAAAATAACTAAAAGCGCTCTCTGTTCTGTCTGACTAAAACATAATTTCTTTTGAGGCAGTGCCATTGCACCACTAAATCCATGTAAATTCTGTGTGTCAAGATGGATTTGCATCCAAGCGTGTGTTCACACCAGGAACCCCAAGCTGAAGGAATCCCCCCCCCCCCCCCCTCCCTCCCTCCCCTCCTTCCCTTTTTTCTTGTCTTCTGGTCTCCTTTGACCGCTGATTTAGTTTGCGGCAAGCGGACACTACCAGCCTCAAGAATGGCACTACTCCCACGTCCACAATGCCATTTTGGGCCCATTTGGAGAATTGATGACAGAGGATGACCTAAACCGTATTGAGAAGCAAATTGAGAACCTGCAGGTTATGCACAAGGTCTCAGAAGTCGAGAAGGAGCTGGAAGAACTGGAACGGGAGCTTCACCAACTTCTACCAGTTTCTGCTGCCCTCAATCAGGGGCACTTTTCGGTCAATCCAAAGCAGGTTCATGGACAGGCCGAAGATCTTCCAGGCTGGTGCAGCAAGATTTCTACCCTGCTCAAGAGTATGGCCATTCTTCTCGCCACACTGGGAGGAAAAGAGATAGACATCTTGGACCTAATATGTCCTGGATATTCTCAAGAAGAGGCAATGAATGTGAGCACGTGCCAGTCTGAATCAGAAGGAACCAACGGCACAGGTGTGATTGGACGGTCTCAGTCCTTTTCAACAAGAGAAGATGTGGAGAAAGAAATAAAACAGTGTGGAGTTTCGGTGAAGAACCTCAAGGCCAATTATGAAATTCAAAACCAGCAGTCTGCAGATAACAATGCTAATAGGGTTTACAAACGCAAGAGGTCACTCCCTGTGGTAAGTGAGTCCAGCTACCAGACTCCAGAGTCCATTTGCGAAAATCAGGTCCCTTCCTCTACAGAGGCCGTTCAGTCCAATATCAATGGTAATTTACCTTCATTAGAGGAAGCAGTCTTACCCCTTGTTGAAGAGCCAGTTATAATTGCATCTCATGTTCCTCAGACGTATGCACCCTCTGAGGTAATGGCTCCAACCAACATTGAACAGTTCAATCAGGTTCTTTCTGCAGACCCCATTTTAAATAATGATCAATTAACAAGAAGCTTGGAGGTGCAGACAGATATAAGCTATGTCCAGGAATGCATTGAAATGAGGAAAGAAAGAATTGTTTTCCTGTTCCTTGAACACTGGCGGAAGTACACCATCTCTGAATCTTTTCGGACTAAAATGACTGCCGTGAAAGGAAATAATTTAGACGTGGGCTGGGAGGACTATAGCGATTTTAGTGCACAGATTACTGGGGAGATGCAGAGCGAAGATGACAAGCTCTTCCTTTTCATGAAGTCAAAGCAGGTAGTAGGGAATCTTATTGGCCACTGGAGGACAATCATGAGTCAAGTGCCCACACGCCAGATCCGCAGGCTGAGTCGTGCCCAGATGATTTACTGGCCAGAGCACTTTTTGCCACACATCAACGGGTCTCCTGTGAGCTACGAAAGCCTTACCCTTGACCTTTTCATGCTTGGATACTTTCAGTTGCTGGAAATGAGCATGTCCCGCAGTGAGCGCAAATTCCGCCACCTCTTGTGCTATGAGATGTTTGACCGTCTAGGCAGCCATAAATGGGAGGTCATTAGGCAGTTTCACAAGGAGGTAATGGAGGGTATTGAGAGAGGGAAGCAAGACTGGGCCGATGGTTTTGAAGACATAAAACTCAAGTATTTTGGAGACTCAAATGATGGGGGAGGTATGATGACGGCTTCCCTACATTCCATGTCATCTGACTTGTCCATTATGCAGGAGCCACTTCCTCCTCCACCTCCTCCTCATCCTCCACCTCCTCCACCAACTGCACCAACAGCCCCCCAGTCAACTGTAGCTCCATCACCATTGCCTGCTGCATCCCAGGATGCAATATCTGACAAAAGCCAGTGTATGGAGCAGGGAACTCTGAAGAAGCCATTGCAGGAAAATATTCAGAGGGATGTCAAAAGCAGTAAGACTATGTCATCAAATGAGGCAGTGGCTTCTAATGGAACAAGTTCTGAGCAGAACCATGTGCAGAGCTTGACAACTGAAACTGTACCACACATTGATGCAGTAGCAAACGCTGAAACGTCACTGGACACAACTAAAAGCTCAGGACCAGTAAAAGATGTTCCACCTGTTACTGTTAAAATCATAGAGGAACCTAAAGTTGATAAACCTCCACCCAGGGAGGGACATAATGAAGATTCAATAAAAGTGATTTATGAGCTAAAAGAGTTCAGCAATGAGGAGATCATTAGATACATTGACAGAAGCTTTGCGTTTTGGAAAGAGAAGGAAGCTGAGCTTTTTGATATCTAACAACCATGTGAACTAAGGGTGCAGTAAAAGCCCATTTCCGCCGTACAATCAGAGAAGAAAGGTCAGGGAAACTAGGCTGCAAAGTCAAACATGCTGAGAAAGCGAAACTAATCTTGTGTGTTAGCTTTAAGGTCATGTATCATAAGAGACTTAACTGCCGCATGCCATATGCTTTAACATATGCATTAAGGCTGAAGTGGATGAAAAGAAAGCCTGTGATGTCAAAAGACAACTACAGACTCGCTACAACCATCTAATGTTGAGTTGTGTTAAACCCAGAGCAATTTGACATCGATTATGATTGATTGCCATGGCACACTACTACCAGGAAAAGTTTAATATGTTTTTAAAGAAAAAGATTTGCCATAAAAGTAATGTAGTGTTTGTTCAGGTCAACTTTGTAATTCAGGACATAACTGAAACACTCTTCACATTGTATTGAATATATTATATTATATATATTATATCTCAGAAAAGTAAGGGACTCAAAACCAGTGACTGGTAAGACAGTCACTACAATTAAATACAGAGAGTTTAAGGAAACTTTACAAATCATTTTAAAGACAGAAAGACCAAGAAACAAGGTCTTCAGTGGGTTTGCAAGGGATCAAGGTTACACGTTCATAAATGGCCTTTGTGTTTAAGCCTGTGACCTCATGGTTTTGATTTAAACAATGTGTGCCTTTCAGTATAGATTACAAAGATTAAGAAGTATGTTAAATGCAAAGCCTGGAGAAACAGCAAGCTTGTTCATAAGTAGCTTGATTCAGAACTAAAATTGCACATTTCTGTCAGCAAAGGAAAGAGCTTGAAAAAGTTATTATCATCTGAACGAAACATCAAATTAAGGTTTTGCTATTTTTCCATAAAGCTTTACATGTTGGTGTTACTCTATTTATAACTTGAGTGTTTGAGATATTTGTTCAACCTTTCCATTATTTCTATTTGTGTTCTCTCATTATTTGCTTTCTACATTGTTGTTAGAAATAAAGTTTGCAGACATTTTTGTGATTACAAGATTTCAGTAGTTATTTCCTAAGAGTAAGAATAACTGTTTGTTTTACTGAACACACAGCCAACATAATATTATAATGATCTGAATAGAGATCTGGCCAAAAAAGGCATTTTAAATAAACAAACTGAGAAGCGTACAATTGAAGGAGTCTAAGACAGAACAGTGTAAAACTACACTACTCTCATTGCATTTCTTCTGTAGCATCAAGATTACCTTCCAATAACCCTCTTAGTGCCACCCTCTGTCATGCTATCCGTGGCTTACAGCAGCCATAAGGAGGTCACAATGAATCTTGTCCCAAGCCCAAAGGGGAGGCAGTAAGCTTGTAAACTTTACAAAATAGAGATTTGTTTTAATGTACAGTGTTAAGAGTATGCGGTTGTGTTTTTAATTCCTCAATTGAAGTTTTTACAATGCAAGTCATGTACAGAACTATCATTTGTTTCACTTTTAATATGCCCAGCTTGCACACTCCACAAGGTCAAACGTGTGTACTGACAGTACTGCTGCACAGATGCAATTGACTGTAAAGTCAACATTAAAACAAATAACAAAGACTTTAATTTGTTCAAATGATATTGAAATTCAAAGGGCCAATTCACAGAATGTGTCCACAGGTCTAGGAATTACATGTCTCAAAAACCATAAAGAAGGACTTTACTAAGTATAAAAATATGCATTTAAAAACTGGTAACATGCCATGCTATTGTTTATAGTTGACATGAAACAGACACCCCAGTCCAGCCTGTATTAGCATCAAGGATCAATCCAAAAAACAATGCCTATTAATGATCCCCGCGACTACAAGCACAACATACAAGATAAGCTATTCCTTTAAGAGGTTAAGCTGAAGTAAGTAATGATGTCTTTGACATAATTCTGACGTATCTGTATTATCTGTCTGTAAGTAGATAAACGTTAATCTGCCCTTTCACTAGCAGTCGCCACATGAATACAGCTGATAAAGGTGAATTCAGAACTTATTATTCAGAGGCCCTCATCAATTCCCACAGTCAATACAGAACAATGAACAGGCTAAATAAAAAATTCATTCAAGTTTAAATGAATCATTAGGAACTTTATTGTTGTAATTTACAAGGTATATGGTGTCTATTACTGATTGTAATGGATGTTTTTCAGTGCAATATTTGTTACTCTCTTTGGCTCAAATCGATAAAATAAACAAACATTTTTTCAGCTGATTAAATGCTCCAAAGTCTAAAATATGCAACACATTGTAAAAGCAGGTACAATTCATAAGAGATTTCAATACTATTTGATTGTCATCAAAATACTTTTTTTTAACAATTTAAGCGGAAAATGTAGAATGTACGGGATATGACATACTGTAGCTAAAAAAACCTTAGAAAAAAAAAATCTGAAATTACTCGCTGTAAATTACCAAGCACAAGTAAAACTGTAATTTGCAGATGAGCAGTAAGAAGTTTTATTTCAGTAAAAATGAAACTCACATTTGAATATGTGAATTAATTACCAATGCCACTTCATAGCAAAATTTGTTTTTACTTTTTTGTTTTTCTTGCTCTGATATTCCCAGGGGATTCATAAAACATTCACTGTGTAGATAATCTTACCTGGAATAATGTCTGCCAGGGCAAGTGAAATGCTTCATTCAGAGGAATGCAAAAGGGTAATCTATCTTCTCAGGCGAGGATGAGAAATCCAAGATGGCTACCCTCTGTCTCTTCCCCTTCTCCAACTCCGATTACAGCCTGAAGAGAGAAAAGGGTCCAGTTACCATTTGTGCGCTGTCTGCAAGAACATCCTGTAACACAGAGTTCTGTCCAGTTAAAATACTTTATTTTTATTTTTCAGAAGACAGGAGATGAGTAGCTATTGTGTATGTCCAAGCTCTATTAGCTTTTGCAGTTACACATTAGTTTACACAGCATGCTATATGCTCTATATGCTCTTCCATTAAGGCCATTGTCAAATATTTGACATTGGAGCATGTGTATATTGGAACAATAGCTTGGACTAACATATCATGAGTTTTTCTACGCAGGTGTTTTCCTGCACTCTCCAGTAAGTAGAGAGGCATATTATGAGACTGCAGGCATTACATATTAATACCAGCATTGATTAAGGTTTTCAAATTGGGTGACAACCACCTAGAACTTCAGTAAAGTTCCCTTTCCGCAGCTTTATTTAGTAAGTAACTATGCAGAGTAAGATGCTGGAAATACCCAAAAAACTGCAACAATATTTGAAGTAAGTATTTAAAAAGTAAAAACTACTGTTTATTGACTGTTTTAAACATGTGGAGTGTTTGATGCAAGGGACAGTTTACTGTATTGAACATCAATGAAATTGTGTTTTATGTGATTTGCATACATGTTGTGACTCTGACACCATTAAGGACATGAATGTTTCCATGTGAAAATGTTATGGGCCCCTTTCTCTGTCTACCCTGACCCCTCTGTCCCTCCACAGGTTGAGGAGGAGGCTGCACGCCTGGCATCGATGCCAGCCTGGAGGAGAGACATGATGAAGAAGAAAATGGACGAAGAGAGGTGAATAAAAGCTGTGTTGCTCTGCATGTCTGTATTTAGTTTTTCTTATATCCAGGGCCAATAAGGGGAGACTGAGTTGGCTTTGATTATGTTCCGCATGTTAGCATTCTTTGTCTTTGGGTGGGTTTTTACAAAGAATACCCTTGGAAATAAGGACAGGATGTTGCTGTTATACATGACCAAAGTTTATACCTTGGTTTGTTTTTTCAACATTAAGACACTGGGGACATTTTATCAGGAAGACGAAGTACAGCAGAATTGAGGATTCTCTCTCTCCTGCAGTTGAGCTTGAATCTTTCAGGGAAACTACTAAACAGGAACGAAAACGATCCAAAGACAGAAATCTGAAGGCTTTACATGATGATTCAGTAAACCTAAAATGCCTAAGACATTACATTTGCACAATGTATTTAAAAAGTATACTTTTTTTCACTGTTTGGATTACCGACTTCATGGTTCAAGGTTTTTATTTGTCATACGAACATAGCTACAGTGTAGTTCTGACGATAAAAATCTTAGGTCACTGGCTCCTCCAACAGTGCAACACAATAAAACAGATAAACAGAAAGATATAGTGCAATTAAATAGTAAATGCATCTCTTCGTGGCAAGGGGTTTAGCCATATAGCTATATCAGTGTTACTACAGTCAACTGCGCTTAATATTCATAACATTCCCTTTATTTTGTCAATTGCATTGTTGTTGCTATTTAAGGTATTTACACATTTTCTTTCTGCTTATCCCCTCCTGATGTGACAGGGAACAAAAAAGGTAAGAAATCATTACTTAATACACAGTTACCCTTACATGCAACTGTAACTGTGTAAAAGGATACGAAAACACTAGACTATTGGCTACATTTTAGATCAATGCTTCCACCTTGTGGCCATCCAAAAATGGTCACATAATGTCCCATGTTGATAAAGCATTATAGTATAATAGAATGAATCAAACCTGAACCAGTGGAAAACCACATAAGCAACTTAGCCATATGTTTACGCAATATTTTCAAACAGCAAAACACTAGAAACTAGCAAAAGCTGTGTTCAAATTCAAGGGAGAAACTGTAAAGAGCACGGAGTAAGCGGTGTGGCAGTTTTATAGTCGTGCCCCCCACAGATAAGCTAACACACTGTTTCAATATGTATTGTGTTAATATAACTTATAATAAAGACACACGCTGTCTTAAACTCAAGTACTTTACTCGAAACGTTCATTCAGATACGATACAACATGCTGTCGGCAGTCACTAACTCCACAACTGCCGCTCTTGCCCGGTGCACCCCACATTGTCGTCCCCATGGCAACGAACACACACATTAGCTCATGCTAACGCCAGAAGCTAGCTAAAGTCCAGCGGACCACTCATAGGACCACCCACACTCACCTGTCGTTTTGGTTCCTAAACCTCTTCCTGTGGGCTGAATCATGTCACACAGTGGAGTAAGTACATAAGTACTGCAAAAGGAACCTACATATTTTCCTAACTTTGCAGTGTGTTAGTAGCCTATAGCCAACGCAACTTTTTCAAACACCTTTTTACCGCTCACGTTACTTTACTCAGAGGTCAGAGTTCATCAGAGAGCAGCTGCACACAGGTGTTTTGAGTTCTCCTAATTATCACCACGTGGGTTGAACAGCCAATCCCTTGATGTCAACAGAGTTACCTAACGTCACGCAATTGTTTTTGTTTTTCCTGCTGACCTGAGAGCTTAAATACGCTGACACTTTATCTAACAGCCATTTTAAGGATATTTATATGACTTGTTACTGTTATGTATGCATATACTTTGTTTATATACTATGTTAACTTATCATTTCAATTTTCTCATATACTTACTGATATATTGTTTATTCTAACTTCTATTTTGTTTCTGGCCCTTTGCCCACCTTTCCTTGTGGATGCATCTAGAAAACAGGAGCAGCAGGCCAAACAGGTGAAGGACATGGAGGAGAAGACGGAGCTGGAGCGACTACGGAACCTGGGCTACGATGAGACCAAGCTGGCCCCCTGGCAGCGACAGATCATTCTGAAGAAAGGGGATATAGCCAAATAGTGAACTAAGCCGTCTGCCCCTGCTCCTTCCAAGGCCTTCACTGAACACCTCCCCGCCCCTAATCCTCGCACTGTACACTGGACAGTGGAGAAAGCTTGTCTCAATCTGCGACCTTCAGAATCACAGGACCATGCTATGGCTCACCCTGGGTGGGGTTACCCGCCACCTCCCATTGAAAGTCTCTTGGACAAAAACTATTGATCTTTTAGTGCTAACAATAGTCGTGACATGCACTGATTCTCCTTACTTAAGACATTTGCTATTAATGCATGTGTCTTGACTAAATTATGATTATCTGTTGTATTTATTGCTTTCCTGCAAATCAATAGAAGCTATTTCACATAAAAGATTTACAAAAAAAAGAGGTTAGTGTGGGAAAGGGGCTTACTTACTTGTTATCATTCATTGCATGTATATTTTCTTTTCATTAGCCACACTCACTGTTATGTAAGGAATTTAAAAGTAACTCCATAACAGTCGTGTCATGTGACAATGGCATTGACGTACTCAGCAAAGTCTTATTAAACCCTGAAGCAGCTAATCCATTCTGTATGTAGAAAATCACTTCTTCATTATGTTATATTAGTCATAAGATTTTTGTATCATGCTCATAGAAGCAATTTCTAAATGGCTTCAATTTACTGCCAGAGTTGTTATCCTAACACTGCTCAAACTAATCTGTTTCTTTAGATAAGCTTGTTGTAATTTCTCAGTGGATTGAAATATTTATATATATGATATTTTAAACAAGGTAAAGATTATGTAGCTGTGCAAATATAATTTGACTAATAATATTTGAGAAAAAGCTGTATGTGGACCTAAATGTTAGACTGTTATGATCATGAATCGAGCATGTAGTTATGTAAATGTTCGCCCATTTGCCTCAAGGACCCTGGAATGTCTTTGAAGAATAGCAAACAAAAAACAAGACAGTACAATTTTGCTAGGTTTCAAATTCAACATGACCGTGCACATATTAGGAGCAGCTTCTTACATCAGATGTCTCATTTGCACCCTGAAAAGACAAGTAAAGAAGACGTCAGTTTATCCTGTGTCCTGATCTGGCCTTCGTCCCACTAACCTGGAGGATACATTTTTGATGAGCAGATCTGCTTACAGAATACAGAGGGCTCTCTTACTGCCACCAATAACGCCAAAAATCTAATCTAATAGTACAAACACTAAAGTGTAAAGCATAGTTTCAATATTTTTGGCTCAAACATCGGATTATGAACATTAGGAAGACATATACAATGTACTACTATATACGATTACATTTGGAAAAAATGATTTGACAGGAGCGACACAAATGCCAGGTTGATACTTTTACAGCTACTTTCTAAACACATTTGTTGTGCATGGGTTTATACATTTGGGGCTAAATATGAACATGTGAGGCTGTGCTGAATGTTTTTGGCAGAACTGAAAAGGCAGATTTGAAATGTTAGTAGAGCAATAGTCTGTGACATTTAAGAGCAACTGAACCTCCCTTATAATGTCAGATGAAGTTTCCCCACACAATGGAAAAATATTCTCTATGTTTACTACATTTATGTTGGATGTACATTTTTTCATGTGTAGGGTACGTCATGAAAGACAATGCTTCTGGTTGGGGAAACATTTGGAATTTCATGCCATATGATGTTGAAATTGAGAAATGATGTTAACGTCATTGCCATTTGAATTTCTATACATATTTAAACTCTGTATATAGTGACCCTCTCAGATTTTTGTTGTTTCATTGTTTCCATATTGCATTACATTACATGTCTCAGCCTTGCTTGAATAGAATGTGGCTAATTCATGTGTAATTATATTTTCAGACTGTTAAAAATAAAGACAATAAATCACCAAACAACATTCAGTCTGTGCTTTTCAAACCTTTATTTAACCAGATGGTCCCATTGAGATCATAGATCTCTTTTTCAAGGGAGACCTGCAAAAGGTTGTTGCCTCCAACAGAAAAACATATACAATAAAATCCATTAGACTAGTGCAACAGTAAAAGACCTCAAATAAATCTGACCTGAAGCTTATTATTTTTACTTTTGGTTGAGGTTGATTAAGCTGAAGTATCGGGCTGGCAACACTAGGAACATACAGCTGGAACAAAAGGCAGGGATATTACAAAAAATGTAATAATTGGAATTATAATAAGGTTTAAAAAAACACTGGTAATATGCCTTAAAATAGATAACTAATAAATGAAATAATTACTACATTAAATCAATCAAATGTTAGATTTTACAGTACCATTTGTTTTAGACACTTCTGAATTGTATTAACTGCTTTCAAGAATCTTTAAAATAAGAAAACTCCAACCAAAAATCTATCATTATGGTCAATATTTCTATTCAGACACACAGACAGGCAAACAGACAGTCAGACAGACGGACCAACAGACACAGGTATATACATGTTGAGCCTACATCCACAAACAAATATAATCCAACATAGATAGATAATGGCCTTTTTCCTTCTTTAGTATCTTTTTAATGAAACACTCCCTATGGATGCTCTTTCGTAAAAACAAGCATTTATCTGTTACTTAAAGTAGTTTAAATTTGTAACAGTTTGAATCATCGCATTCTGATCCCTTTAAAGACTCAAAATGCTGCTTGTCGTTATGGAGACATACAGGTTGTTGTGAGAAACCTCCAGTGAGTAATAACCTGACTGCCAACAGAGGAACATCTCTTAGAGGAAAACTGCAAATATGGAAAGTACACCAGAACTACAATCAAATACCAAAACTCCAATACCACCACCACAGTATAAGTGTTCAGCAGACATGAAGAAAAGCGAAAACTTAGAACACAAGGTAAGCTTCTTTATAAACATGAGACACATTTAGGCATTGTTTTTGTGCTACATTTATATTAAACATCTTTGTTTTTGTGTTATTCCTTAATTCTTTGTCAATGCTTCAATAAATGTGTGACTCATTTTAAAGAGAGGAATAAGCTATACTCAGACTGAAAGGCCACTTGTTTTCCCCATTTTATTTACATTAACAGTATTAAAACAATGTGGGCAGTGGGACAATTGTGTGATATAACTTTTTTTTTATTTCCACAATTGTTTATATTTTTATATATTTTTTCGTATTGAGACATTTGTTCATGATTAGTTTACAATGTTCTAACGCTTTGAGTTTTACGACACAACAAGGTCATATAGATGTTTTGTGTTGCTGAATTTTACATACAATTAGTTTTTGTGGATTTCTGTTGAGGGTATTTACGTTTCTATTAAGTGATGGTATTTCAGTGAAATATAGAAAAAAACTATTTCATTTATAAACCATATAGTAAATGTAGAATCTGAATATTTAGGCTGAAGCAATGAATTAAGGATTGTTTTGCTTGTAGTTATGCAAGGCTCTTTTCAACAGCTGCAAATTGCTACACTTCATTCACTTCTCTATTACATGCATATTTTTGTCTTTCAGTACTCCCAATGGACTCTCTGCAGAATCCTACACCGACGCCGTGCAACGAGTCCTTCTGAACTCAAAAGCAGTTATGAAGGAGTTGGCTGCAGAAAATGCAGCTCTGAGGGAACAGACAGCCAGCAAGGAGCTGCCGGACGACCTTTTAGTGTCAACTATGTTTATGGTCAAATGTGACATGGTTGAAGCTTTAGAGTTTGCCAGAGCCAGTCAAAAAATGTTTCACGCTCAGCACATGAAGTCAAACAGAACATCTAAAGAACATGAGGAGACCCGCTTTCTGACAGAAATTCTACACACCCAGAGAATGGAGATAGAGAAGGTCAAAAAATACAGGAACATGGAGCAAGACCATTTCAATGACATGAAACGATACTTCAACAACATTTTGATTATCTTCAATGCAGAGGGGTGTGTTATACAGAGGGAGATATCCAAAATGAAAACTGTGCAGCAGGAAATTGAGAAGAAGGTGAGCCAGGTCATCCAGGAAAAGGAGGATGAGATCACCAGAGTCAGAGAGGAAATGAATGCGCTGGTCAAGAGAAATCTGGAGAGCTTGGCCAAGGTGAGAGCAATAGACACAAAGGTCCGCCAGATTGAGACAGTGAAGAAGGAGGAGAGCTTGAGGAAAACACAGGAGGTGTGGAAACAGATCAGAGAGATGGAGGAGGAGTGGCTCAACAAGGAGGGGGAGTGGCTCTACAAGGAGGAGGGCTGGTTCTACAAGGAGAGCAGGATGGAGAAGGAGGTAAAGCTCCTGATCCTGCAAAATACATACGCTAATCATTTTGTTCAACCTTTCAAAGAAAAAATACTAAATGATATGCTCTCTCTGGGTTTTCAGGAGCTGGCCCTTAAAACAGACAAGGTCAAGGAGAAAAGAAGAATAACATATTTTCTCCCTATCTAACCATTAGCACCACATGAACCCCCTCCCACTTACCCTGTTTTTGAATTATCATAAATCATAAAAGGTTCTAGCTTTGGTGTTTGGTGTTGTGAATAACCCTTTTTAAAATATGTGCACCACCATTAGCTTCCTGCTAATGAAGAAATACAAAACTTTGCAACACCTTCACACACGCCTGACTCATCGCTAGAGGGCACAGTAATCCTGCTGTGGCCTCTGTTGGTTGATAAACCTTGTTCTTATAAAGAGTAAATATTGCAAATGTCATACTAGCATCCCATGTCATGTAAAGATTACGTTTTGGAGCTTTAAATATATTTTCAGTTTCCGACTAAGAAAGTGGTGGAACGTGTTTTACATTTAAAATGAATAAAACTAAATGTGCCAAATTGTGGCCAGGGGGGTAAAGTGGCCCCATGCAGATCTCCTCCCACCATACCTCCATCCACCTTACTTGGAGCAGACCAGAGCCATATAATAGCATATAATTATATCTATATGGCGCTGGGGCAGACCCATCACCCTCAGCCTTCGTTCTGATTTCACTTCCACATCTTTACAGTATGTGACTGCATTTTGTAGTGACACTCTTGCAATGAAAAGTATCTTTCTACAGACAGAGAGGATATAAACATGTGGAAAATTACTCAAAACAGATCTGTGGTTGTTCCCGCCTCCAGCACATTTTGGCTCGATGACACACTTGTTGACTCACTAGGTGAACAATAATGGCATGGAAATAATTAATGCGAGCATGCAGTGCCTCCTGTTGGCCACGAGAGGGAGCCCTCGAGCTGTTTGCAGCCAATCAATCACATTTCAGTTGTCAACAAACAGAAGGAAACTGTAGAAAAGTGTACAAAGATAAAAAAAAAGCAAAACATTAGCTTAGTTCAAACTGATTAAAACGACATGTACAGTTCCAAGTCAAACTCTGACGTTTTAAATACTTGAATGGAAATCTTGCCCTTTTATCTTGCCAAACCGGATTATTAAGTTATCCAGCGACAGTAACACCATCTTCATTTAAATATTAAAGATGCTTATCTGTGAATAAATGGTTCCGCAGATGCAAGCCCCTACCTGCTTCGAATAATTGTCAGTTTGCGATGATTGATTGCTTACCTGCGGTGACGTAGGCAGCGCGGCTTAATAGGCGCCTGCAAACAGAGGAGGAAGTGAGTGAGTTCAGCGGAGGACTACTTCTGCTACTGAAAGCCGCACTTAACCACGCTCCGGACAGCAGCCCCCTGAGGACGGACTGAGTTTGGATATCATTCAATACGAAGGCTGGTGTTTGTATGGTCACCTCGCACAGGTAAGACAGCCTGTTCACAATCTCAGTGTTTGCTGAACTGCGTTTCACCTCGCTGTTATGAACCATGGGAATGTGAGGCAGACATTTTTTTCTCCCACCCTAATCCTTCTTACAAGGAGCGAAGTTATTTGACAATCGGGGTGCGAGTGAACAGAAAGAGCAAGCAACTTTTTGTATTCCTCTTGAGGCGCAACTGTATTTCAAAACTGCTGTAAGAGCTTTTTTTGACTCTGTTGTGAATGTATCTAATATTGACACTGTCCCTATAATGACATGGGCCTGAATAATAACTTGTTTACACTTTAAACAGGCTATACTCTTTGCACAGGTTTGGGGTATTTGTCATAAAGAAAGAGTGACGTTTTTCTTCTCGTTTCTGTTGCGCACAGATTTGCTGTAGCAGGTATCCCCTGTGGGCTTTGGTGTGGACAAGTGCAGTGTAGGAGTGAGCGGTGAGTCACGGGTTGAGTCCCTTGATAGGAGTTTTAGGACTGAGACACAACCGTCTGACTGGGAGTGTGTAAATTGGGAATTGGATAAGAGTACCTCTTGGAGCCCCACTGTAGGTCACTGGTGGTATTTTAGGGTCATCAAGACAAGAGAGACTTATATTACTCCTGCTGATTACTCATGTTTCCATTTGGTTTGTACATGTTTGCTGCATGTTTTTTTTTAACTTGAAGTAAAGTCATTTTACCCTCCTTCAATGTTGTAGGTGCTGCAGAGCTCAGTAGACCAGGAGGCGGGAGGCACCATGTCCAACAGCCAGTCAGACAGCTGCATGGGCCACCAGGCCCCTCTAATTCTGGAGAGCGTCTTCTCCACAGAACTCCATATATCTGAGCCTGGAGATGATTGCTCCCCTACACCCCAATCTGAAACACCCCAACCACAGGAAGATGTAGTAGACAGGCTGGTGGTGCCTCAGCAGGTGGTTTTGAGCACCCAGAGTCCTGCAGCACGGAAAGTTGGCAAAAACCAGCTCATCCCAAAGAAGTTGGCCAGCCGGCATAAAGTCCGCCACCACACCACCGTGGTGACCTTCCCTGTGGGACTGGAGAACTCCACCAGTGCGACCCGGAGCCGCCACTCAACTCAGGGGCCAGATTTGTCCTGGGAGGATTATGACAG